CCCTGAAAAACGTCGCGCACAAAACGAGGGACCCATGATAGTGTCCAAGCATATTTGTTGAGAAATGAAGGTGGGTTTAGGATAACTCCATTTAGATTCCAAAAGAAGACAGATTTCTCTTCATCAGCCGGATCTGTGCGCTCGACAACGATCACTTCCCCCTCAGGGCCAGCACGCTGCCACTCGTGCCATACGAAGCGATCGATTCTAACCTCCGGTTGTTCGCCGTCGGTGGCAGTGACAACCTTCCACGTATCACCTACTCGAGCCCGGATACTGCCTTTGATAACTCTCAAAAACTCGGTATGAGACTCATGCCAGTGGAGGCCACTAGACCAGGTGGATGTCGGCGGGAGAGTAATGCGAACAGACCCGGGAGTTGACAAGTCGTAGATAACCGCGTTGGGCAGCTGCCGCGTAATGACTTTTGGAATTTCGTTACTCATTGTAACAACTCGTCGCGTGTGTCTTGCTTAAATGGAAAGTAATTGAAGATACGCGAGGTTTTGTATTAGATATATTAAGGACAGATATATGAAAAACGATATGAATAAAAGCGTAGTGCTTCGTGGCGCTTGTGAATCATCAATATAAGCAGCACGTGATCCTCTTAGTCGCTGATGAGGACCTTGATTTCTAATCAACATCTTCTAGAGTCTATCTTTAGAAAATAAAAATGAAAAAAATGCAGCCATGCTGCATGATGCTGACAAGAGACCTGGGGAAGTGATTAATAATGCTTCATCAACTTTGATATCTGTTCTGTTTCGGCCACGCAGTTGCTTGGTAGGGTGATTTACACTGGAGAGAATTTGGAGTGTGGAAGGATAAGCTTCTTCAAAGACGATTGTGGCTTTTTTGTTTTGCCGTGATTGGGTGGTCGAGCATAAGCTGCAATTGGCTCTGCCGGTGGCGAGACAGATTCTTGGTGTTGAGTTGGGACTTTGGTTGTGGTGTGGTTGCATACGAGGGTAGCAGCATCCCGACCACAACCGAGAACGGCTTCGATTGCCATAGATATGTTGACTTGTGAAGAGCCACGCACTAATTTCTAGTGAAAGCTCGCGATGCCTCGGCAGCTGACCCGCTGAAATAGTGACGAGAGAATTCAGGCTAATCCCGAGCATTTCCTTTTCGAGCCAGAGCCGATGCGTGGGTGAGATAGTGCAACCCTTTGTCGTGTGGGAGCAAATCACAAAAGACCTTTTATCAATTCATGCAAGTTTGAGCGGAATGTGACCCCCAATAAGCATACAAGTAGCTGCTCACTGGAATGGGATCGCACGTTCCTCTCGAGCCAGTGAACTTCGTCCGCCATTGTGAGAATTACGGCGTGAAAGAAACAAACACACGGTCCCCGACGGCAGTGCAGATGGATATTATCCCATATCTTGCTGCCATTGGGGCTTTGCTCCTGCCTTTTGTCATTCACAGATGGTATCGGAAGCTGTTTTCACCCAGTCTCCCCCCCGGGCCGCGTGCAATTCCCTTTCTTGGAAGCGTTTTTGACCTGCCCAAAGGTGACATTCCAGACTTCGAACACTGGCTTCAGTATAGAGAGAAATATGGCCCGATATTTTCACTGAGTGTCATGGGGCAGACCATTATCGTCATTCACGACAAGCAGGTCGCCCTGGACCTTCTCGAGAAGAAGTCCCTCATCAACTCATCACGTCCCTGGATGGAATTTGCCGGAGGCCTGTGAGTTTCACACTTCCAAATATAATCTCTCATCTCATATATCGTTTGAGCCTCATGTTGACCTTGCATAATTCTGGTAGCGTTGGGTTCGTTAATTTCACTTCAGCGGTGCCGTACAACGAGACCCTCCGTCTCCATCGCAAGTTTATGCATCAACAAATGGGCACCAAAACAATAGCTGCAAGTTTTCGCAAGGACCAAGAGAATGAGGTTTCTTGGATGCTTGAAAATATCATGGACCGACCAGAAGGTCTCATTGACCATCTACATAGGTACGTCCCGCTGCTTCCCTTTTCTTCAATTATCAGTTTCAACTTGGGTTCTCCCATCAGTCTCACAATTTACAAACTGACAAAATCAATAGAGCTGCCGGTTCTTTCATCATTAAGTTGACGTATGGATATTCAATTGATGTCTCCCGCCCCGATCCGGTCCAGCGTCTAGTCATGCGTATGGTGTCCATCTTCAACGAGTCCGCCCAGCCCGGAGTCTGGGCTGTTGACATGTTTCCTGCTCTTCAGTATCTTCCTGACTGGTTCCCTGGCACTTCATTCAAAAAGGTGGCCGGTGCATGGAGAGAAGAGGTCATGGCAGCGGCAGAGAAGCCATATCAATTCGTCAAAATGCAAATGCGGACTAAAAGCCACCAGCCTTCCTACGTGTCCAAGGCGCTCGAGCAGTGTGGTGAGGACCCAAGTGCTACATATGAGGCAGCGGTGAAATTCTCTGCCGGAGCGATGTATGGCGGAGGTTCCGATACCACTGTCTCTACCCTGAGCTTTCTATTCCTTGCCATGGTCAAATTTCCCGATATTCTCCGCAAAGTGCAGGAGGAGATTGACAGAGTCGTAGGCCGGGATAGGCTGCCGCAGTTTGAGGACCGGCCAAATTTGCCATATGTTGAGGCCGTTGTCAAGGAGGCATTTCGGTGGCATCCGGTTGCTGGGATGGGAGTGCCACATGCGAGCGACGAGGACCAGATCTACAATGGCTACTCGATTCCCAAAGGTGCTATTCTGCTGGCATCAGTTCATGGGATGACCCACGACCCAGAAGCCTATCACGACCCTGACAGTTTCTTCCCAGAGCGATACGACGAGCCTTACAATGAGCCAGATCCAAAGGAGATCGTTTTCGGTTTCGGACGTAGAATATGTCCTGGGAGATACTTTGCTGATTCAATGGTATATCTAGCAGCCGCTCAGACTCTGGCTGCCTTCGACATCGTCAAAGCGACTAATGACCAAGGCCAAGAAATCGACCCCACGGTGAAGGTGCTTCCTGGTGTTATATCTCACCCGGCAGATTTTCCTTTCAGGATTACTCCTCGAAGCGAGAACTCCAAGAGCCTTATCTCGGCGAATCTTGCACCAGGGCAAGGAGCCATGAGCGATGCCAAGATATTTGAGCAGAATGGTTTCATGGACTGATGCAGTTTACTGTCTTGACTGTCTGAAGGAGGTAATTTTGGTTCATATCAGCGTGTATCTTCAAGCTGGAGCTCTTCTTCGGTCATGTTTTCCCTGCCGTGACCAGTAGCGGCGACCGCGCCATTATCAATAAGCGAGCATTCATCATGTCGTCCCACGATCCAGTTGTGTTCCAAGTCTTGAATCCTGCAGTGTGTGTGCTAAGCTCACTATTAACTGTTGCTGACACAGGGCGTTTCATCCTCTGCATTGACCAGCTTTACTTGTCTGGCTGCAATCTGAAAACAGAGAAACATAATTTAGTTGCTTAGCCTGGGCCATGGAATATTGGAGGACCTTATAATCCCCGATTGTTACTTAATACCGGAGTCTTCTCTCTATTGGAAGACAGCACTGCAAGTAGAGAGATCGGGCTACTTGAGATTTATGATTGATCATCCTCCAGCGCAGGAAAAGCCAACTCATGGTGGGCTACGCCGCGGCAGGGATCGCGATGATTCATGGTTATTTTTACATGCCGAGATCCACAAGATGCCCCTTATTAATTACCACCGTCATCATCTCCGGAATAGATCGATCAGCTGGTTTCATTGAACGCGTGTCGTACATATGTCAACTGACTGGCCCCTCGGGATCGATCTTCATTGCTTGCGTCCGTCATCACCAGATCACATACTCAAGATGTTGATGCGAATTTCCCTCCTTCTCAGCTTGGCAGCGAACTGCCTTGCCACCCCGACGCCGGCGATACGGGATGAAGCCCAGACACCTCTGGGCACATGGCTCTGGGAGTCGACGATCATCTCCGACACAGCAAAGGTCGCCGAATTCTTTGATAACACGGTATCGAGAGGGCTTCAACGTGTTTTCGCGCAGGTCAATCCCGATATCCAGACTAGCGACTGGCAGAATTTCATCACTCAATGCGCTAGCAAGGGCATCAAGGTTGAGGCATTGATTGGGAACTCGCAATGGGTTATCGGCACTGGGACGCCATCTTTACAATCTCAGCTCGATTGGATTAAACAGTACCAGGCGGCTGCCATAACGAATTCCGGTTTTGCTGGTATTCACATGGACGTAGAGGTAAGATCCAAAGAGCAGCATCCTGCCTATGCTATACTGATGTGTTATGTGTCTACAGCCCTGGGGACTGGACGATTGGGAGGCAAACAAAGCAAAGTATATCGAAGGCTGGGAGGAAGTTGCTCAGAAGGTCGCATCTCTGGCTTCGTCACTAGGCATCACCGTCGCAGCTGATCTCCCATTCTGGGCCAATACACTCGACAGCACTACTGAAGGCCAGACCATGGATATTTGGATGCTCAACTTGCTCGACTATGCAACTTTTATGACCTACCGCAACACGGTTCCTGCTTTCCTGGATATTGCTGCTCCTGTCCTGGCTGCTGGAAATCAGGTTGGTAAGCCTGTCTGGCTGGCCGTAGAAACAATACAGCTGCCAGAGGACAACCTTTCTTATTATGGGCAGCCCGTCAGTAAGCTACAATCCGACCTGGATGAAATCGCTGCTGCGGTCCAAGAGCAAAGCAGCTTTGCAGGCATTGCTGTACATGACTACGATGGATGGTCAGCATTGCCTCGAACTGCGTAAGACAGCCGGCATGCATAGCCTCGTGGTATTTACTCTTAGCTTCTTGTATCTATTCTCTGATCCGGTACCGCCCCTTTACCTGGAAGAAACTGGCAGCCCTAATGGAAGTTTCCCACCACATGTCTTATCTGTAAGGAAGTTACAGTACCGATACTTGATTATGTTGTCACTGTTGCAAGTGTTGTAAGGGAAGAGCCAATTCAGAACTCGGCTCTAAGTCGTGACATTGTGCCGTGTTAATAATCCAGCGGTGTCTAATAATTTGCAACAGCTTCCATGCACCCCGGGTCCAACTGCTCAAGCTTCGCAGAGACCTCTTCCCAAATTCGATTGCCGATTGCTAGAGCCTTTTCATCCTTCATCCAATCGGGCACAAAGTAGCTGGGCCTTATATTAGCACACTCGATCGATTCATAAGGGTCAGAAATGATAACTCACTCCTTGATTTCGCATTCCGAAAGCACTTTTCCGTGGCTTTCCCTCCCAGCAACCAGGCCATGAAGTAAAGTACGGCTCCCCATCTCGGCGGTTCGGCCCATGATCATTCGAGCCATTTTGACTTGTCGACCAACAGGGCCATGAGCATTGCGGTCGAGTTCCGTGTAGCAAATTCCGGGGCTCACGAAATTAACGATGACGCCGGATTTCGTGACGGGCGTGCGATGGGCCAACTCTCTCAAAAACATGTATAAGAGAAATTTGGAGAATGGATAGCTAGAAAACATTAGTTTGGAAACAAATACTGAGTGGCTGGTGACCAAAAGCCGGAAAATACTTGCAAATGGTGGAATAACGGTTCCCACTTCGCCTGATCGGCGACATCTTCCAAAATGTTACCAGAACCAAGCTTATCATAACATGATCTCGCCTCTGGAGAAAGCGCCACAATGCTGCCGATGATGGTGATAGGCACATCTGCCTCGTGCTGCTTCCCCATCTCCCGGAGAAAGGGGATGAGCAGCACCGCCATGTAGATAGTTCCGATCACATTCACCGCCACATTCATCTCCAGACCATCCTTCTTGTTTGGAACGACCCATTCGCCCATTGCCACAGCAGCATTTTCAACGATTCCGTCGACTCTGTCCAATCCTTTGATTTTCTCGACGAACGACTTGACGGTTTCGAGCTTGGAGAGATCCATATGCCAAACTTCAATCACACTCTTTGAACACCCGGTTTGGCTTTCAATAGTAGCCCTGGCCTTTTCTCCAGAGGAAGTATTACGCACTCCCATAATTATCTGCCCAGCGCCCATGGCAGCGAGATGCTTCACACATTCGAAGCCCAGGCCAGTGTTGGAACCAGTGACAATATAGGTTTTCCCTGCACAATCTTCCTTCTTCAAGGAGATTGGCAGATTTTTGTACTGAGCTCGGAGGACGGTGAAGAATCCCAAAGACATGATGGAGGTTTGTAGGGGTTGACTGTGGCGTAACGTGACAAGACAAGTCTATGTTGTGAAGAGCAGTAAATTTACTAATGATGAGGGTTATATTGCTTGTTTCTGCATTTGTAATTTTTGTAGATTTTACGGCGTTTATATAGTTTGAGAATTTGGCCCTGATGCTTGGAACTTGAAAACGTACCGGCCTTTAGGGACCGGAATTCATAAAACCGATTTCGTTAGAGCAAATCCCGGCGCCTTGATGGTGGTGGGTCTTGGCCCGGAAGTCCGTAAGTCCGTCAGTCTGTTTATCACTTGAAAAACGTGTCACTGAGAAGAATCATCCCCTCATTTTTTATATCATATTAACTTGGATCGAGCAAAAAGAAGAATTGGCACTTTTGCACTATTCGAAATGAATTGATTATTTTAAGGGTATATTGCGTCCCGGAGCTTGTTCTGGGGGGGTGTTGAACTCTTGTCGATTATTGTTAATGATAAGATGAGACAATGAAGGGGGAGAAGAGTGACTCGGTGTCTTTGATTACTTTCTCTGTGTGTCTAATAATACAGTCGATGATTGGAGAGATTGGCCATTGGGATCACACAACGGTTCTTTACGTGGTTTGTATGTCTTCCCACATCGGCATAACACCTCTGGGCATTCCCCGACCCCTTCTTCCTTTTTAACATTACCCGCTGGCTCTAGAGGGATCCCAATGTCTTGATGGCGTACAAGCCCACAATTACGCAACAGAATCCCATCCCACCCGTTGATTTCGCAGCCGCCAACTCCATGGCTGTGCCATCAGACGAGGCTAAAACCATCAGAGAGCTGATGACGTCAAAGGCGTCGACGGCGATGCCTGTCCATATGATACGACGCAGGTCCTTGGTAGACTCAGGTTTGTTGAGTGTAAGCACTGTCAGACCGCCAATGGCGGCCTCGCGGACACCAAACGTACGGGCCAGAAGGGTGACCCCAGGCAAGGATTCCCATTGGAGAACGCCGGACATGGCAGAGGGCGCGAACACGCAGCCTGCGCCGGCGGCAAAGCGGCTTGCTGCGAGGGCATAGACGAGGCCTGAGCTCAGAGATGACAGTTGGGTAGTCGATTGGGGGGAAGCCGATGCCATGGTGAGTTAAAAGAAGATAGTGGAGGGGTGGGACAGGTTTTTTTTGGATTGGATTGGTATTGGTGCAAAGATCGAAAACTAGTTGCGTGTATAGAATATAGATGAGCTATTGATCAGTTATGGTTGAATAGGATCTATATTTTATACAGATTATCTACTAGCATAACGGCTTAGCATAACGCCATGTAAGGCATTTGCGTTATGCTGCTGATGTGTTGCATGCATAGCTATGTTGCATCAAGGCTGGGCATCGTTCTAATAATCCTGCGGACCAGGCTCATACCCCATATTCTCTATAATTGCAAAATTCACCAACTCGGGGTTGAAGTTTGCATGGCAGAAACTGACGACCATATCAATGCCTAAGAGGTAGCGAACGTTAGTGAATGCAGGATTGGGACAAACTGGTATTGACGTACCGCATCCTCCACCACCAGCCGTCCACACGGCTGGCTTAAGGGAGGATTTACCCTCGTACGGCTTGGGTGAGCTCACCCAGCGCTTATCAACCCATTTGACCTTGTCATGGGTTTCCTTGGCAGAAGCATGGAATGGCCTGTTGGTGGTCGCCTCGATGCCATTGAGCACACCCGAGCTCGCCAGCCACATGCTTCCAGTAGAAACTGTCAACCAAACGGGGGTCTTCTTCCAGGCTTCCTTCATGAACTTGTCGGCAGCAGCGGGGCGATGGTTCTTGGACGATCCGCCGACGATCACGATGTCGAGGTCGCGGGGACACTGGTCGTAGGTCATGTTTGGGGAGTAGGTGAGGCCCGTGGTCATGACGGTCGGCTTCAAGGTGGTGGAGAGGAAGTGAAGCTTCAAGGCGGGCGCATGGGGTAGGAGCTTCTTTACTTGCGGCGAAAAAATAGCTGCGGCTTGAATCGTCTCAAAGCGCATCCTAGCCAGGATATCGGCCCCGATCAAATCAATGAGCTGGACAGTGTCCATCATGATTCCAATTTGTAAGGTTTTGCTGGCGCTCGCCATGGTAATGGAACTCAGTGTTGTATGAAAGAAGGATTTTGCCGAGAGAGTCTTGAGAGTCTTACTATCAGGAAGGTGTTGAGGGTATCATAACGGCATGAAAGAGGAGTAGGTGGTGTTGATTGATTTTAATCGCCCATTATATACTTAATTCTCTTCATTGTGTTGAGATGTCGGGTTTGGCATCTTCCATTGCTGTTTTGCACTTTGTACTCGAACTATCATCCTTTATGCTTAATGCTTATGCGATTGACAAACGAATAAAAGATGAGAGTTCTTCTGGTCTTGACTATCCAAATTGGCACTGTACGTTGATTGCAAGCCATTGAGATCTTTGTCTATACCTCTGGCCCGCCACACACTCACTCATCTCGTCAAATCTAGCCCAATTAGAGAAGAGATACAATTAGTGGTGACGCGGCAGACCCCGACAACCTGGTCTTCGGCTGCTGTTATCAGAGAATTCCGATCATGGGCAGCCTTTTGAGACGAGACTTAGCAAGGGCTGAGTGGTGGTCGGATGGTTTAAGCGAGAGCATAATCAAATTTGGCGCTCAGCTCGTGGCCACACATCGTTGAATCACATGTGCTGAGTTCGCTGCATTTATGAACTCGGCCAAGCCCAGAACGGCCTGCGTTGTCTCTCATCCCAATGACGTGTGTGCTCTACTCATACATCGGATACGCTGGCTACGTGTCTTGTTCACCTGTATGAGTCGCCTATCACTGCTGCTAGTTGCATAAACAAAACTATTGACGTCGCTCCTGCAAAGCTGGCCATGGAAGGTTGCCGGTGTGGATTGACTCTCTGCCGAGCTAAAAGTGGTGTTGATGTACCGCTGTGTTACGCTGGGAAAATACTTGTGGGAATCGCAGCAGCATCTATGAGAAAGAAGAGTGCCGTTGCTCTCTTGAATAGCGCCGTGTCGGCAATGTGGTGACGTGATGAACCATCGCCGGCGCAAGGCCATATGCTTCGAGAAGTTATCATTAATCCCCAGAGAGCACTTGGAATGATCCAATTCCAACCCTGAAGAGTGAAGCCATTAGCGGTGGCAAGAGGGGATTTGGAATCATCATCTCGACATGTTAAATGGTCATTTGCAACCGTTGCCAACCCAATAGCTCCTAGAGAATACTGGACTTCTTGCTTTGGAAGGATGGTAGGGTATCCCATCTTCATCATTTCTCGCTTGTATCAAGAAGTTACTGAGTAAATATCGATGTAGAAAAGAGACTGATTGATGTAAAGAGAATTCAATATCAAGAATAGGGGCTTTAGGTGAAAGAGGTGCTAGAAATCGGTCAGCCATGGAAAGTACCCAGCTTGGTGGCTGGACATCTAGTTAGAATGACCAAGCTTTTTGACGTCAAATAACTTGCTGGGTGTTCTCACTGTAAAATTGGTAACCTTGAAAACGAGCTATATCCTTATTCCTATGGAATAATCCCAGGAGAACCGTACTTCGGACCACCCTGAGTGTTCTCAGTTTAGTGAGCTCATTTATCACGCCATAGATGTCTTGAGAATTCATAACTCGACGAGAAAGCCTTGTTTCCATCGGTAGCCACCTGTAGCGTATTTTGGAAGTTCTAAGCCCTTCCTGAAACACCAGGTTAGTAGCTCGGACCCGTTTCGAATCTTGTAAAACGACCCAATCCGCTGCTTGGTACTTGGAAACGTACCTGGGCACGATTAGCACGGCACGATCATATGTGCCATCGCTGGCGCCACGCTTTGGAAAGTGGTGCTATCCTACCGCAGAAAGGAGAACTTTGAGCCACTAAGAAGGTCAGGAAAAACCACCACCCCTGGGGTTCATAATTTCCTAGATGGAGACATTCATCTGATATTGACGGGAGTCTACCAACCTTAAACGGCTTGTCCCATCCTGGTCTATGGAGTGAGAATCCCCGTCTCCCGATCAGGACCAGCTATCCGCATTTACATGGATAGCAAATGTTTGAGAAGATTGGAGAGAAAATAAAAAGAAAAGGATATAAGTTATCAAATCGGATGGAATCTATGCGAGGTGAGCTTTCTTGCTCATCTGCCTTCTTGGAGCTCGGGACTCTGCCGTTCCTTGAGAAGTACACCCACTCACCAAATCCCTCCTTTAACCAACTCTTGGCTAGAACGAGAATAATCAACCAAAATGAAGTTCATACTATCATTAGTTGGACTCACAGCCCTGGCGGCTGCGGCGCCATCCAACATCCGCGATATCGAGCCGACAAGGACTCTGGAGAAGCGAGCTACGACTCTGTGCGGTCAGTGGGACTCGGTTGAAACCGGCGGCTACACCATTTACAACAACCTCTGGGGAAAGGACAGCGGAAGCGGCTCTCAGTGTCTTACCGTTGACGGGATTAGCAATAGTCTGTTGAAGTGGTCTACAACCTGGTCCTAGAGTGGTGGGGAGACAAGTGTGAAGTCATATCCTAATGCTGTGATCAGCGCGTCTGCTGTTCGAGTCTCAACCATTTCTTCTATCCCCTCCAAATGGCAGTGGACGTGAGTAATTTACTGCACCTAATCGAGAATTATCCGATACGTATGAGGCTGGCTGGTTCTTTTAATAGTTACAGCGGATCCGGAGTCGTGGCCAACGTTGCCTACGATCTTTTTTCCAACGCTGACTGTGGAACCACCCCTGAATTCGAGATTATGATCTGGCTGAGCGCTATAGGAGGTGCCGGTCCCATTAGTGCTACCGGCTCAGCCATCGCCACCGTCACTATTTCCGGAGCATCATGGAAGCTCTGGAAGGGCACAAATAGTCAGATGACCGTATTTAGCTTTGTCGCCGAATCTGCGCAGAACAACTTCAGCGGTGACTTGAACGACTTTATCAAGTACCTCACGCAGTCACAGGGATACTCTGGCTCTCAGTGTCTCTACTCGATCGGCGCTGGCACCGAGCCCTTTGTAGGTAGCGATACCCAGTTCACAACCACCGGATACAGCGTGTCCCTCTCTGCTGGCTCCTCCGGCAGTGACGAAGGAAGCAGTGGGGATAGCGACAGCGGTAGTCAAACGACAACAACTTCTGCTGCTCAGGCCCAGCCTACTGCTACTGGCACAAATTGTGCCGGAATTTGGGGCCAGTGTGGTGGTGAGGGCTGGACCGGAGCCACTTGCTGCAGTCAGGGAACTTGCACCTCCTCAAACCAGTGGTACTCCCAGTGCATCTAGCTTTAGTAATGGACGCACGTAATATAATGTTGGAAACTGAGCGCTCCCCAGATAGTTGGCATGGATACTTCATGGCGTAGTACCTACTAGTTGATATATTTGCCATGCCCAAATCTGCTATCCCAGATATTACGCTAGAAGTTCGAGGCAATGATGTTAGTCGCAGAGATGACTTCTAACACGAAGTTGCTTAAATAAATATCTCCATTTACTCTCGATACTAGAACTCAGTTCACCAAAGTAACTAATGTCGAATTGAACTTTTACAGCCCCTCACCAATTGTTCTACTGGATTTCCTTATATTTCCACCAACCAAAGGAGCAGCCTGAGATCTGAATATAATCATTTCCAAGAACGAAACATCTTGAGTAACAACCATATTTGACACGCCGGAATCCAGGACCATGTCGAGGTTTTAATTGGACCCGGATCCCGATTTTTCGTCGTCGATAAGCGATCAGTAAAATAACCTCTTACACCGATTAGAGAGGAAGGCAATGTGTACATTAAACACCATGGATAGGAGCTTCGCCAGCAGGTCCCCAGAGAGAGCGCTCAATTAAATGCTCCATCTTCCCACTCTCCTTGTCCACTTTGGCAAACATGAAACATTCAAAATGCGTAGGTACGTCATCGACCTTGATTGTTCCTGTCATGTGAGCCGACAGAAGATCACCGTCGCGGAGAAATTCATGCCTATGGTCGGTGAGCACGGTGAGAAGTGATGGGTTATTGGGAACGGCACGCACACGACTGGCTTATATTCACTGGCCTTAGCACGCCACTGGGCGATGTCCTCAACGTAGGTGTCGTACGCAAAGCGCTTCCCATTCATGACCTGGTAAAAATCGGGCGTGGACAAGGCTTCCGCGTAAGCCTTGGCTTCGTTTGGAGCGCCTGAGAGACTCCACTCCATGGCGCGCTGGAAGCCTTCGCGCGTCGATGTATATTCGGACATGTTAACGGTGCTTAATATGAGAAGAGCAGGCCTCAATGAAAGGTAGCCGAAAAAGATGGCGAGGGGGAAGGGCCGTTGATGATTTCCAGGAGATAAACTGAATGTTGAGGGCGAGGTAAGCGCCACGATGGCCAAGTAGTGAGCATGGACTTACGGTCACCCGACGTCATAGCCGCTGACTATGAGGTTTTGAACTTTGTGGCCAAGCTGATTAGAGTTTCCGGATAGAAGGGATGGTTGAGCCACCCTCGGGGCGGTCAGGACCGCCCACGGATCGTAAATAAAGGACAGGATATCAACGGACGAACTCTTGATGTCTCTTTTCTGGATAGTGGCGCGGAACTTGTGCCATAATCAGAACCTACTAATAGTTATTCTTGCCTCCGTGGATTGTTACTTTATACATAAAAGAACTCATACTTAAACAACAATTTTTTTTCTCCCACTAAACGCTAACAGACAGACTTTTGAGACGACCTTCGACCAAAGTGGTGTGACAGAGTTTAATCTTATACCTAAATTCAATAATAAATGTGATTCACATCATCGCATTGTTACTGGACTACCTTTTTGGAGGCTGGTGATTCAAAACTGCACACCAGCCTACAACATTCTATTTTTGTTTAGAGCAATGGCCTTCATTCAAGACGCTGGGATGAAATTCTAAGATATTCGTTCTTTGAGCACAACTGCGGACTCCAAAAGTTATGTGAAGGAGATCTAACACGCTACACACCCACAACTCCATTCACATACATTGCCTAACATCTTCAAGATCACCATTTTGGTCTATTTTTGAGCCAGAACCGCAAATGTAATCCAGCTTCTTTCGAACGGTAGTATGTCAGCCGGATCTTATCTCATAAAGGAGCGGGGACACAGGCTATCCATGTCTAGCTGATTCCTAAATAGGACCGAATTTGCGCAGGTCTTGGCAATCATCATCTCATGTGCGGAGTATAAAACTGTCGAACTGCTAATGTTGAAGGCTTACACTTTTGCCGCACAGAACATAGGATCGCGAAGAAGTCGTACATTTCAAGCCGTTCCAAATATCTCGTCCCCAAACTCTTCTCATCAATTTAGTTGTCCACCAATTCTCATCCGCTCCCACGAGCACTCATCATGTTGAGCGACTTCCAATACCGCCATCTTCCCGCGCTCTTCACTGCGACCGCCCAGTGCTGGGGCACCATCTGGCCCATCATCAGCGGCAGCACGGCCAGCGTTATGCTGCACTACGGTCTGCCAGAGCGCATCACCGACGTGCCGGAGACGTGGCCCGTCTGGCAGGCCGGTGGCGCTCGCACCGCCTGTCTGGGCATTCTGATGTTCGTCTTCTACGCCCAGCGGCGATATGACACCCTCGACACCTTCCTGATAGTCATCGGCGGCTACCTGGGACTTGCGGACTGTATCATCCTCTGGAAACAAGGGTTGGCTTCGACCGGCGTCTTCCGCCTGCTGGGCTCTCTAGTGTTTGCAAGTCTGGGCGCGATTGGCTTCACCCAAGGTCCAGCCTCCTAGAGATATAGACAAGTCAGAATCGCCCCTCTGTCAATAGAGACGACACACGTGGTATGCACGAAGTTATTTGGCCCTTCTGCGTTTAGCGACAGACCGAAACACTTGGGCTGGGCGCCTCCCGATCAATAGCTTCAGATGTTTAATTTTAACAATATATCTTCGATTGTATACATGGGATATATTCCTTCGCTATAACAGGCTCGCTCTTATAGCAGCGCGTAATAAAAGAGCTAAACTTCAGGGAGTATCCCATCCACTATATCCCCCTCTTGGGTGAAAGGCCCTTTATATTTTGGTGATGCTAGCGTCCTCCCATCGTGCTCTGAGTCTGTGACACCTTCTTGGCATGTGCATATCGGGGTCTGAATTTGGCCTGCTGCAGATCCTGTTTTCCTTGTATGCTGGAAATCTGACTGGGGACCCCGGCGACAAAAGAGCGTATTCGGTGGTCGTGCAGCCCCATGATGTCCCTGTTTCTTTATTTATACAATGCCTTAATTGTTCATACGCCTCCCTTTTTGTTGATTCGTGATGAGAGGTTTGGACCCCACCTGCAACACCATATGGCATGGAAGTGATGCGGCAATTAGGGACTTGCGCTTTAGTATGAACTTGGGGAGAGACCTGGCTGACAGAGCCGTCAGTCATCTCGGGACCATGGAGATCTCCAATTTTGAATGCCGGCGCATAATGATTCATATGACGCAGCATTAGGTTGCCGTGAGGGGCTCCTTTGGTCACGCCAGTGCATTATCCGGCCGGATGGGTGGCCTAGCCGATGTCCCGAGCTCCCCAATGAATATCACGGAAGGTGAATCATGTGGTTCTTGGTTACAGTTTGATGTGTCTCCCTGCATATGGCCAGAGGGTGGTCATACGCATAAATTTCTGCCATCCCAGTGACGTGGACTTTCTTTCATTCTCCTCTTGTTCAAAATATCATCCGAGCCACGGTTTGAGGGATCAAGAAGCCTTGCGTATGGCAATATGATGGCCTCTGAGCAAGATACTACATCAGCTGTCGGGATCGCTGACTTGCCCTTGGACATCCTTGGTCAAATTTTCGCGTTCTTTGAGCCATCCTACGGCAATAGAAAGGGCAAGATCGATTTCCACGCCCTGAATTCATTCTTCGGAAGCGACGAATATCGCACTATCAAGAATGCACGACTGGCCTGCTGGGCATTGAATGTCGCCTCTAGCCCACTGCTCTGCCCAATTCTACACATTTCTCTCGAGCAGGCATCTCTAGAGCGAGCCAAGAATCTATGCTCGAATCATCTGATTTTGTCCGGCATCCGAGGGGTCCAGATATGTCTCACCTACCGGCCAAGCGAGACGGCCAATAGCCTACAGCGATACAAGGAGTGCCGGCTGAGGGAACTTCAGAGTATTTACGACACCCAAGGGCAGTCTGAAGAGGAAGAGAATGACTGGTCGTATGGAGACCGAGAGGGATCCGATGCCTTTCACTTTTCAACGCTTCGGCGCGCGTGGAATGCCGTGTCAAATACCAAACACATTTTGTCGGATGAAGAAAAATCATACCAGAACCTTCTCAAAGAGTCACATGAGACGTACAAGAAACATCATGAAGCGCAGATCCGGCTCGTTTCAGGGAAAATCTTTGTGTCCACGGTGGCATCACTCCTCGCAAGACTCGATCATCCGCTCTCCCTACATCTCGTCAGCTATCAGCATCCGCCTCGAGTGCCCAGATCCCGCTCTATGATGTCACAGATGCCATTGGAAAGCCGGTCAAACTTCCTCCGATTCATGGACGCGCCGCATGATTGGGATAGCATTGAGAAACTGGCAAATGGAGCAAGCGGATTCAATCTGAGCAAACTTCTCGTGGACCTCCCAATCGCCTGCCACATAGCAGGGGCTGCTCCTCGGCATATGTATATAGACTGCTTCCCATTATCCGGCCATTCAATAACAAGCGGCCAGGGTGGGGATTTCGACTGGGAAGGACTTGGCACTGCCTCTCAAAGGATCAAAACATTCCACTTTGGTCCCTCTGTTTCCGCTAGAAGAAACTCCAATACGAGGCGATTCCGGTCTACACTCGACCAAGACTTTGTTGACAAACTACTTGGATCTATTTCTTCAAGTCCCAGCTTGGGTGATTGCAGCCTGAATATGGACTTCTTTGGTTTGCGCTGCGGAGGCTGGACAAAGCACGGTGTCATGACTTTCAACTACAATGTCGACGCTGTTGCATCCCGAATTTGCTCTCACAACTTGCATATTTTGAAATTAGGGTATGTTTCGATCGAAGAGAGGAATCTGGAATGGCTATGTGAAAACCTAGCTGAGGAACCAGAAGCCCTCGAGCTGAGTAATGTTCGCTTTACGAAGGGACGCAATTGGGTAGCTATGTTGGATCAATTGTCCGTCAAACTCGCCAGTGTAATATCAGAGGAGAAGTGCAGGGTTATCTTTTCAAATTTGTCATAGGGATTTGATTTCCTTTTACCCTTCTTCCTTTGCCAAGATTGTATGTAGCATTCAGAACTGGCGATCCCGTAGTTCCAATACATGTATTTGAATTTCGGTGGATAAGCAGACACCGTTGGCTAGTTTTGCTGATATTGAATCATGGAGATCGAAGGCGGACGGTGTCTCCAACTCTCGATTCAGATTGGTTTGGTGAGAGCCAGGGGGCTCATTGATCGGCGTTGCCCAGCGCCAAGTCCAGGATGCACGAAGCCGTCTACCACTTTATGTATATCATTTGCTTACATGCTTGGGTTTCAACTATAATTTGCGGGAAATAGCCTGGATGACGAATTACATCTCTCTTATGGTGACAGGTACGTAGAAGTTGATGCGATCATTCTAGATGGAGACAATGTTTAGAGTCACCTCACGTGAGATCACACAAGAAGTCATCATCGTGAGTCACTATAACAGGGCCTGATTGGGTATGATTCTATCTGTTGCGCACAAAATTGAACCATCTATCCCCTAAATCTACGTCGTTAGTTGAAAATTTGTTGACGACACCGACGCAATCATACGCGCACAAAACGAAGATAGGGGCATTCCAGATAGGAATCGAGATGGAATCGACAACCGCAATAACGACCACCAGCCAACTCATCGAATATCTTGACTCAAGGAACATCGCTCATCGGCATGTTTCACAAATTTTTGGAGGGTCATCTAATTTCCTCTGGCGGATGACTACGCCCTCGGGAGAGGATAAGATCATCAAGCATGCCGAGCCCTTCCTAGCTGGAAACCCTGCCACGCCCTTTCCACTGTACAGAATGGGCCTGGAAGTACATGCTCTAAGTATAATTCCTCAGTTATTGGCTACTGGCGACCGGAAAGACGGTATGATTCGACTGCCAACTTTAAATTCTTACGATAAAGATTGTCATGTCCTGATTCTAGATGACATGGGTCGAGACTCCTTACACGCTGTCTATGAAGATCCTCGTTTGGATATCAAGATGATTGGGGAGGCTATCGGGCGATGGCTAGCCCAGCTCCATAACTCAACAACTCCAGAGGAAGTCAAGCGCAAGTTTGAACACCCTACAGCGAGGAGAATGTACAGGTGGAATTTCAATAATCTCTCTAGTGTTCTGAAGAGGTATGGTTATGATCCAGCCCCCGGAGAACGCCTTAATGCCAAGTATGGAGCTCTTTTGGAGACAGATGAGTTGTGTGTGTGCCATGGGGACCTTTGGCCGGGCAACATTCTCGTCTCTGGTCTTGCCGACCAAACTCAAGAGGAGAGTCTCCGACTCACAGTAATCGACTGGGAAGTCGTGCGCCTGGGCAATGGAGTTACGGATGTTGCGCATTTCGCTGGAGAGGCATGGCTTCTAGATCATCTACGTGGCGCACGGGGGCTCATGCCAGCGTTTCTGGATGCATACCTGACAGAAAGGCCGCTGAGTGATCAAGAGAAGCAAAGAGTGGCTGCGCAGTTTGGTACACACATTACACATTGGCCAACCATTTACGTAAGTTCAGTAAGCTTTCGTTTCTACACGTTATTTTACTACTAGATAAATCTCTTCGAATTATCATTGACAAACGTTCCTGACTTTTCTTTAGGGTTGGATCCAAGATAAAGACAAAGCCGGGTGCATCGCTCATGGGAACTCGATCATCCAAATGGTAGATGACATGAAATGGAAGTCCTTGAAGTGCAGTGAACTGGGTATTCTATTCACGACAACCAAAGAAGAGACGGAATCAACCACCCTACCCAACTAGTTAGTTTGGATATGGTATTCAACCCATACTATGCTCTCGTTCTGTAGATTTACGCTAAAATATAGCCGTATTGGAGCTTTAGCAAGAGATACAATCATATTGCCAGATGAAAAGATCTATCATGCACATATGAATCTTGACCCAGTCTCTAAAGATCCGTCGGTGTTGGTAATTGATGATGTAGCGTCTCTGAAGCGGGACATGGAACACCTCCAATATTCCAAGATGCCAAACAATCGCTAGGCAACACAGAAGTGCGTTCATTCCGCACTATATTACTCATGGTGATGACCAAATCGAATCGATTTACACAACGTGATTCATCACTGTCCAATATACCTCGCCCCCGAAACGCACCAGACGCTGCTTAGTTGGCTCCCTCGGCCGGCTTCGCCTTCATCTTCTCCACATCAGCAGGAAGCGTGGCGAAATGCGACATTGCCTGCTGAACTGTATCCTTGTTCATCGGCATACCAGACTTGAACATCTTCTCCATCAGCTTGAAGTAGTTGATGTAGTAAGCTGGAGTGAAGGTATTGAAGAAGCGCGCCTCCACATCACCAGGGTTTGAGAAGGTATGAGGTGCACGGGTCGGCACGACGACATAGTCCCCTGCCTGGGCGTCAACTGTCTTGCCCTCGGGCGCATGAAAGCGAATCGTTCCCGCCGTGACGAGGAACGTTTCATCATGCATCTCGTGCCAGTGGGCGGGAGGCCCGTCCATCCCCGGGGGAACAGTGAATTCGGCAGCGCCAATGCGATTATCTGCTCAGGGTGGTCAAGTTAGCCACCGCTTTGGCCTTTGGAGTCGTCCCTATACTCATGACACTGCTGAGGGGATAATAATACCGGTGTTCGAGCCGTCCTCCATAATACGGCAGATGACAGGCCCAATGCGGATAATCTCGCCAGCCTTAGTTGGGACGAATGAAATTGACCTGTCAGGCATAGCCAGAGCCTTAATTGCAGCTGCCTCGTCCATGATTGAAGCACTCAAAAGAACAAGCTGTATGAAGAAAGATATCGAAAGAGCCTGAATTGGATGTTTGCTGATTTGAGTCGTGTAAATCATATAACAGGGCGAGGTCGTCTTTATATATGCACATCCCATCGAAGTCCCCGCATCAACATCATGACGTTGGTCTAGATGAAAATACGTTGCCGTGCCTGCCGGCTTTATGAACCATTCAACCAGTTACCTTCGACGTTTTCCCCTTGAGGATTGATGTAGCCCCTCCTCAACGTTGTCAGCATTACTGCGTAAGGTTCGAGGCCAAGTTCGTCTCTGTCAATACGAAGGGAATGGCTATCTGATTGGTGATGTCGTTCATATTAACGGATTGGGTCTAGTCGAAGGTGGTGCTTACCACCGCCAACAACTAATAGAGCTCGCTTCAATGCATCGGATAACGCTGACGCCCGTTTTCTGGCACATACCACTCGCCTTGAACCTAGTTTAAGTAACGCTGACCCTTCTCCACTGGCTTGCCAAAGAGATGAGATTAATTGATCGTATATCAGGAAATGATGATAGCAGTTCATGGGGTATCAATAAGCTGTATTAATCGTACGTGTATAATCGACATTCAATCATCTTAGTCAGGTCTTAGCCATCTATTCGTGCCTGAAGATGGTTAACTGTCCTCGAAATTTTCAGGAACCGGCATATCGTTGACATTGATTCTCTCTTTGATTGACTTCTTCGGCCACTCAATCCATTTCTTCCATTCCGGGCTTAGAGAACTCTCTGCAGCCTGAAATACAACTTCGCTCCATCCGCGGTTGACCCATTCAAAGGATTCGTATGGACGAGCCAGGGCTGTGAAATGGCCCAGAATAATCAGAGCCACGGGATGCCCTTGGCTGATGAAATCAATAAACATCTGGGTTAATGTCATTGGCCAAACCCAGACCCGTCGTGGAGATGACGGGCTGTCGTCGTTTCCGCATTTGATGTGGATAGAGCGGAGGGTCTCAATGGCGAGGATGCAAGCGGTCTGTTCATTGATTGGATCCAGGGTCGCTTCCAGCTTTCGAGCAAGGTCCGAAAGCTGTTTTAATCGTTCAAGATAGGGTCCCGAATCTTTAGGTTCAGTGATATTACCCTCGTCCAGCAATATCGAAAGCGGGCCATCTGCTTTCCACTGTTCCACAGACTTGACAGACATGATTGTTTTTATCCCTTGTAGGAGCACGAACGACTGCGCAACATCTACCGGCGAGATGATTTTACCGAGTATGCTAGCATTCGCGGTCGAGCACATAGTTAGGAGAAATACAAAAGTTGCTAGCAGAAAATAGCCTCTACAGTTGTCTTCGTTGATGTTATGAAGATTCGCGGAAAAGTGTTGGAGCGCCAGGCTCTGGAAACGGGAGGACACGATGATAAATTCCCTGTGCTGGTCAGGGTTACGGATGGCGTAGTTGAGCGCAGACAAGGCAAGTAAAGCCTGTAATAAAGCCTCCTACATCATCATCGGGGTCAGTTAATGGGTTCATATTGAGTGTACCAGAGGGGCTCTTACGTTGGTGAATGCAATCTCAGGCACCGTATGTCTCCATAGAGTCTCCGTCCGCTGATCGCGAGTCAGAGTCTTGTACACAACGGTATCGTAATGGTGTAAGAGCTGTAGACTTTGTATCCAATTAGGCGAGAAAAAGTCTTGTGACTCTCCTTGTGTCCACCCGGGGGACGCGGCTACGTGGTCCGATCCTGATGTATGAACAGAAGGAGGCGGCGCGAATGCAGCATGGGTCGCTGAATGGGGTTCATAAATGCCTGTTACTAGGACAGGAGATGCCGCCGGTGAGGTCACATTATGCGGCAAGAACGAAGGCGTTGGCGATGATGCTGTCGGCGGAGGGCTGTAAGGAGCTGGCGGAACGGTCCCATTCTGTTCTGCAAGTACCAGACTGCAAACAACTCCGAACCGAACACAGTTCTTGCAGGGGCGTTGCTCATCGCACTGGCGGCAGCGGTACGAGTTAGTCATGCAGCTCAGTTGGAGGTGACGGTGCAGTTGGAATTCAAGGGTAGTCACTTGCCTTAACATGACGCGCCTTGCAGCGCAAACATCCATTTCTCGACTTCTTGTGGCCCAGGCGGGAAGCTGGCGGCTTCATGGCGGGACTGTAATATGGATGTTGTGGGTGTCGGATTCGCGTTCGCGAGAGAAACAGGCCTTCTTTATGAACCACTTCTCAAGACGGCAAGGTGGGTATTTTCACCATGTCATTGGGCGGGTCGGATGAGCCGAGGGTACGAAGAGAGCGACTTGATTGGATAGTCAAAGTTGAGTGGAATACGGCCGGGTTCGTATTCGGATGAACTCGTCACAATCAGCTACCATCTTTCACATTGAGATTTTGTTGGCTTCTCATCTTAGTGGCATAACAATATCAAAGCTAGAAGAGAAAACATTACAATTTAGATCAATATTCCAATAACAACTTCTGTAAGAAGAAAATGGTACTATTCCAAGCTCTGCTGGGATTGGAGTCCTGTTTCTAATGAGAGAATCCCACAAGATTAGTCCTTTTCGGTCCGTCTCTTAACAATATGCCTGGACCAATCTAATAATAACGCCAGAGATATCTAGCCAGAAAATAAGAGGGTACAAATTATGAGATAATGAATTGAAAGACACTAAAAAGGGAAAAGGGAAATGAGTATGCATTATAAGCTTAGGTGAAAATAGGGCTGATGGGAAGAAAGAATCAAGGAGATATCGTCACCAACAGCCCCCTTTGCCTCGTTCCAAAACTAGCAACGTATATCAAATGCTGCTCATGTCGAAACTGTTTCTGAGCTTCTCTCCGTAGCGTTTGATGAAAAACGGGATGGGCACCAGAGCCAAGGCCAAGAATCCGAGCAGGGAGTTTCCCCATCCCATGCCGAGCTTGTCATACATGTCGAGCGCGCAAAGTGGGAGGAGGGCACCCGCGATAGACCTCATCACCGTGTTTGCCGCCAGTGCCGATGCCGCATATTGTTCATATGCATCTACAAGGTAAACGCTGACAGCCATGAAGATTCCTAGATTCCCTAGAAGAACCAATGTTAGCGGATTGATTGTTGAACAAACACCAGTGGTCGGACGAGGCAGAGAGTCCATCTTACCAATACCAATAATGGCCAGCGCGATGATCGGGGCAATCCAATGCACCTCATATTGGGTGGTCCAGCCGTACAAAAAGAATCCAACGGGAAAGATAACCGCGGAAAAAGGAAGAACTCTCATGCGGATCTCGGGTTTCAGGGGCTCGCCGGTTTGCTTGTGCTTCTTCATCGCTATCCCACTATCGATCGAGAAGATGGCCATACCAATCAAGCAGCCGACACCAAGCCCGAGGTAGACGAGCCCTGTGATGCTAGCGGAGAATCCGTAGCTCTTCTGGAAGACAAATGGAATAGAACAGAAGAGAAGGTAAAGATATCCGTATACAACCATGATGTACACTGCAAAAATGCTGCATATCGGGGAAAATATGAGCAATCTCGCGGGGCGCAAGATAGCTCTTTTAAATAGCTCCTTCTTAGGGATATCGCTCTCTAGCTTGCTACGCAAACTTTCATTCCCCGTCTCCTTGCGAAGTTTCTTTGTTTTCTTCTGCAGGATGGCTGGTGCATAAGTCTCCTTCATCAGAAAGAATGATGCAATCGCCATGACACCACTGATGATGGCCACCACCCAGAAAACCCATTTCCAGCCTTTCTTTTCCGAGAGAACACCTCCCACTACAGGCCCAATGATGGGGCCCAGAAGAGGACCGACACTGAAAGCCGCCATGACACCAGCTCGCTGCTCTGGTGGGAACATATCCGCAATACTCCCACCACCATTGGTCATGGGCGTGGATCCGAAGCACCCGGCAAAGAAACGGAATACAATAAGAGACTCCAGGGAAGGCGCTAGAGCACATGCCACACTAAAGACGACGAAGCCGAAGTTTGAAATGTTATACAGCCAATACCTCCCATACATCTCTGACAAAGGGGCCAAGATCAAGGGGCCAATCGCAAAGCCGAGGACATAGACGGAGACAACAAATGCTGAGAGCTCTTGGTTTGAACTCTTGAATTCCTTCATCAGCTCTGGGACTGCGGGTGAAAAGATGGAGGACGCCAGCGGTGTCATTAAAGTGAGAAGACTGATCAGCACAGAGTTTGTGATTTTCCGCCAGCTTGGCCAGTTATGGGGGTTCTCAGGGTCGTTGTCGCCATCCCACCACACACGGCCATCGATATCAATTGGTCCTCTGGAATCTTGAGCTCGGCCATGGTTACAAATGTCGCTCGTGGATGTGACGTCTTCGTTTTCGGTGTTGACAACAATGGTCTGCCCATCATCGACTCCCTCCTCGACGCGAAGCTTCTTGACATCGCCTAATTCCAAGTCTTCTTGAATTTTATTCATTTCCGAGTTCGGTTTGGGGTCGCTATCATGATCGGTTCCGATGTGAGTTTTAGATATCGCCATGCTCAAACGGTGGGTTGACCCAAGGACAGCCAGCGAAATAAATAAGGAAGGGCAGCTGTTTGAATGCGGTTCGAAATCCAGGAATAACGATGGAAAACTATCTAGAATAAGCATATTAAAAAAAATCCTTTGCCCCTTTTGAGTGGCAGTTAGGCTAGAGTCCGCTGTACCATTTTGCCATGAGAATCCGAATCCGATCCGCATCCGAATGCGATACGAGCCCAAGTGGATATGCGGAAACTTGTCCTGTCCTCACAGCAGATATCTGTGTTTATTGATGTTATCCATAACATTTCTTATTTGAAAGCGGCAAGTAATCTTTAGGAAACATGAAATAGCCAGTGGAATCGAGGTCCTTATCTTTCTGATGATCCAACATTGCATTGCATCTAGCGACACATTGAACATAGTCTTTGCATATGAGGTTATCTACAGAGCCAGCTATGCCAACATAATTTCTAGACACAAGAAATTTACTTGTACAAGAAGATGTTGTACTCGAAAATTTATTTGAATTTCCAAATATAGCATTTATTTCAGAAAGAAGAGAGGATGGCGGCTTGTGTGAGCCTGGGAAGTCTTCATATGTGCTATAGGGTAGCTCAATAATGTGACGAACAGCGCTATTCGCTCACTCTGTTTCATCTGTTCTTTGAGGAAATCTGCGGCTAGCTGTTGTAGACTTTTAATGAGACGTATTAACAGAGTGGCGACAGCAATAAAGAACCTCACTCGAAGGAACATGGAGCCGAACTAGGCCGAAACGTTGGCCAGCTTGTTACTAATAAACATCTTGAGATGAAAATAACACCCCCAATTTACACAAGGCTAGATTATGCCACAAACCAGCAGCATGGCTAACACAGCGTCTCGAGTTCCACTATGCGGCGCTGGCCGGCTCATGGGATTTGACATATTTCATTGATATCTGTCCTCAACCTATCTCCAATAGCCACATCCGGCATGTCTTATGTCTATCATTGCAACAGTCAGCAATTGTAACGCGATTTTTGATATGGTCTTGACCTCGGCGTAGTGACCGTCTCATTGTTTGATTGTGCCTGGATAGAGGAGAATCTGCCATATATCTGGGCACACACTTTGCCTTGTCCGCGAATCCTGCCTAAATAAACTGCCCTACGCCTATTGACATTTGCTTCCAGCCTAAAAGACATTCTACATGAGGATACTTGGGCTTACGGAATCACTGTGGCGGGGTTGACAGGGGTCAACTTTATCTCACTAATCTGAAACCCCTATTCATCATAAAAGCTTCCGCATGAATCTCTGATCATACCCAAGGCTCTGCCAACCCTGACACCTGTTCGTCGAAATGCCCGGCGTCCCTAGATCCCGAGGGTGCCAGACATGTAAGGACCGCAAAGTAAAAGTAATTATACGTGACCTGATATCACCTCCAGTGCCCGTTACTAACTCGGACTTTTCTCTTGCCAGTGTGATGAAACTTGGCCAACATGCACGCGATGCGCCGTCATCAACTCGCCCTGCCCGGGGCCAACGTCACTGGTCAAATTTGTTGCCAAGAATCCCCATGGTGCGAAGACAAATACCGGCGGCCAACCCTTGACAAGAGAGCCTCGGCAGATCACATTCAGGAATTCTCATCTTCCCATCCGGTTTCACAGTATCAATCAGTCAGATTACCAGAAGCCTCGGCCCAACCCAACGACTCGCTACGATCACATCGCCCTACGGTTAATCAGTAGCTTGGAGCGCGGCCCAGAGGGAATTACCACGCTTCGCATGAGCTATTTGCCGGAGCTTCCGGTACGTCTTTCGGAGAGCAAGTGCCTACGAGACTCGGTAGACTTGTTTTGCGCCGCCTTGATTGATTTCCGGAGCCATAAGCCCGAGGGAGAGCTGCATGTAATGACCCAATACGGCAAGGCGCTCCGGAGTTTGCGGATGGCACTTCTTGGAAATGAGGCTCTCAAGCCGGAAACCATGGCGGCAATGGCGCTGATAGAACGCATGGAAGGATTATTCAAGCGAGGCTCCCCGTCCAATGTGCATACCAAAGGCATCTTACAGGTACTCAAGATGAAGGGCCCACCCAAGCTAAAGGACCACCTCGATGTTGCGGTCGCGAACGAGCTGTATGGTGTGCTGGTGAGTGATACCAAGGTCTCCTATCATCAGTTGATGCACCTAACGCCTTTATGTTACGCAGTTGAACGACTGGACCCTGAGAGAGAGTTGCAGCTTTTTCAAGGCGCCTGGTTGGCAGGAGGCACTGGACCGAGGTGTAGAGCAGTTTACGAGCGAGGTAGACATGGGGCCATTCTCAAAACACGATACAGTCGAGTTCGTCGAATATAGTAGGCAACTGCATGCTTTCATTCTCGAGTTCCAGCAAATCAGCAGCCAGAGTCCCACGATCGAAACAAAGCCAGCCATCGAATCTTTGTGTCGAAGGGTATCGGAAGCAGAGGTTGAGGTTGCGAGGATTGCAACGGCATCCAAAGACAGCGCTTTGAAGCAAGGCGCCATGGTCGAGAAACCAGACCCCAAATCACCCGTGGGGAGGAAGTACGAATTCAGGTCTCCTTTTTTTGCCATGGTATATCTGGGGGCCGTATCGGTTCAAATCGTCCTTCTTCGCATACTCTATGAGTCCGCCGCGATCGTTGAATCTTCTGATGCTGAAGACACTGGCCAACGTCTGCGAGAGGTGTGTTGCGAGAGTTGGAAGGCTGTCCCTTACTTCCGGTCTCTGGAGTCCATCGTCGCAGAGAATTTGATGGCACCGATCTATGTTAGCTATGAGGCTGCCAACGAGTTGGAGGAGGAGTATCTGTTGGATGCGGTGGAATACATAGATCGCGATTTGAAGCGATTTCCACCTGAAAGGAGTCAAATGCGTCATATGATGGTTCACATTGCGAAGTTGATGACGGGACGCGCATCTCAGTCGAATCTGGGATAAATCAAAACAATTAGACATAGATAAATGGTATCATGAAGGAATGAAATTATTCATTGTGTTGAGATGTCGGGTCTGGCATCTTCTATTGCTGTGTTCAACCTTATACTCAAACTCTCTCCCGCTACTCAACTCCTATCCAACACATGCCGACTTTTACAAACGATGTCCTAGCCCCTGCTTGCCAACTGAGCCCATCCCTTGTCGCCCACTCAGTCTTTGCAAAGATATCTATATTTTCCTCAACAGGCAGGTAAATGTAGTTGACAGCATCAAATGCTTGGTGTCTTTACTGAAGCTTCCACGGTACCAGTAATCCTCAGCCACGCCGGAATTGCTACCGAGATTACTTTCATGGCTGGCCCTAATCGTCTTGCCGTCAGATTCGTCCGTCCAGGCCAGCCATGCAACCCGCACGGCGTCGAACTCTCGGTTTGACCAGGTATCGATATGCATCGTCACCCCGTCCGGCGTGATGTTTTAAATCTAGATCCAGATGCTGCGATGGTCGTTGGGTATCGATAGCTCGTTGAGCCAGCCGCAGAGCTTGGGGGGCATGTTGAAAGGCTTCTCGCAATTGACCGTGATGGTTGCGTTTTGGTGCGCTGCCCTGCCACCCGGATGATCAGAGGCTTCAACGAAGCCGCGCTGCTGGGGGAAATTAGAACTTTGACATCCATTTGACTTGTTTGGTGTATTAAGGACTTCAAAGAGAGGGTGAACCCGGGCTGTGACGACGACGAAAGACATATGGCGGAAGGGTCAACATCTTCGAGCTCTTCGACAGGACTTGCCGTATCCTGTAACCGAGGAAGTTAGATCGTAGCTAGAATCACATAAAAGAATCTGGTGAATTGGCCGCTTTGTTAACTCAGATTGGGGCCAGGCGATAGATATCGCCCTGAGGGTTAATCTATAGGCTTTATTATGTGAGTTTCTCTGAGGCAAGAAAGGGAATGAAAAGGAACAGGCAAATAAGCTGGCTTTAAAACAATGTTCGTTGAAAACGCCTGAAAGCCCAACGGCGCTAATAACCCCAATGATCACCCCCAAACGACTAAGTATTCTCGGCAAGCATGACTCGTTGGGGTCTCTACCTGTTCCAAACTCTAGATGGTGTCAATATGTGTTGTGACTAGACAATGCTAGTCGGGCAATTGCGGTTCCGAATCCAGAAGCAAGCCGAAAGCTAGCTCGCCAGACCCGAAGCAAAGGACGGCTCCAGTTAATTAGGCCATTTGCTTACCTTGGCTTCTGACACAATCTCCGCGTTATGACATAGGTCTCACCGCAGTTGGCCGCCGACAGTGGTGGCGATCCATGACTAGGCCTTTTGGAGGTAATCAGTCATCTAATCAAGGCAAGTGGGATTGGGAAGAATCCCCTACTGCCGCCGGCATATCATTCCGGGCTTTGATCTAGGCTCTCGGTCTGAATTCTATGTTAGGTAGGTAACTTTGTCCCATCGAACAGTCCCAATGTTGGGTCCTATGATAGTGACGCGAAATGTTACCGTATTAGGTATTTCACAAAAGTCAGAATCCCTGCTTATACCAAGCTGACAACGGTTGGCCCTTGCCAATAATAAGACAGAGCCCTCAGGGACCACAAATGCTCAATCCTAACATGAGGGGCTCGGAGCTATTGAATCTACGAGTAAGGCAGGTATTTCCTTGTGTAATATCTACTTAGGAGATATAACGTAGCACACTTCGCAATAATCTGGAGCAGCATGAAGCCCTGCCCTTTGGCAAACACAGATCGACAACATTTGCAGTCCCTGCGTTACATGTAAGACGGTATATGCCGAAGGATGACGATAATAAACTAGTGCGACGGCATTTGATTTAATTAACTGAGCACGGAGCAACGGATAAGTGGGGGTTGTCTTACTCTTTGCCGGGTCTTGGACCATAGATAGAAATCCTTACTCTATTTTGAGCATCCTGGCTCTTGTTGTATTCAATGGACTCTGCTTATAATCAGTTCTTCTCTTGCTTGTTCTTCAAAATAATTCTTTAAGTATATCTAAAAAGAAACAAAACGACCTTTTCCTTGAGTCTACTCAGCACTTCAATTCTCTACGTAGTACCCTTCTTAGTTGAACTTTTGTTTCTCTATCTCTCATCTCCCTTCTACTACAACTTTCTTTCTTCTATCTTTCTATTCCAATTCCACATTTTCCTACAATCAAAATGGTCAACTACAAGCAACTCAGCCTCGCTGGACTGGTCTGGCTCGGTCTGGCTAGCCAGGGACTGGCCTTAGGAATTGACGAGGACACCAATGATTTCACTCTCCTGGAGAGAGCTGATATCGAGGAGCTCTACGAGAGAGACTTCGACGATGAGTTGTACGCTCGAGAATTTGACGACGAGCTGTACGAGCGTGACTTTGACGATGAGCTGGACGAGCGCGACTTTGACGATGAGCTGGACGAGCGCGACTTTGACGACGAGCTGTACGAGCGAGATGTCGACTATGACCTCTACGAGCGGTACTTTGAAGACGCTGAACTTGAGCCCCGTGGAATGGGTGACATGATCTTTGGTAAAGAGAAGACCATAAGCTACAACCCCGCAGACAAGTACCAGGCACAGATTGACCGCGAGAAGGCCGCCAAGGCAGCTCGTGTGAAGTTTGCGCAGGATCAACTCAAGAAGCCTACTCCGCCAGCTAAGAAGCCTGCATGGAAGGGCAAGCGAGGGATGGGTGATATGATCTTTGGCAAGGAGAAGACCATCAGCTACAACCCAGCAGACAAGTACCAGGCCCAGATTGACCGTGAGAAGGCTGCCAAGGCAGCTCGTGTCAAGTTCGCCAAGGACCAGCTGAAGAAGCCCACTCCACCGGCTAAGAAGCCCGCATGGAAGCCCTAGATACTCAGCAACCATTGGGGGAGAAGGATTCAGATTACAGTCGCAAGAAAGAGAAGAGAGATCATATTTAAAAGTTGGCATTGTTTTATGTAATAATAGTCGGTCGGGCACCTAATGTTTATATAAACAAAACCTTTTATTGCTTCTGGAAAACGCTGTTCGCCGTTAAAATTTCGTCGTGTAGTGCTACAATATTTGTATCCATACAATATCCATTGTAAAGCGAGTGGGTTGAGCTCGAATTCTCCAGTGTGAAACATGCATTCCTTTTTATAATAAGCCAGCCGATGCCAGTTTCCCTAGTCCTGTAATGTCTTAATAGCCAGAGGTAGGGATAGAAGCTGTAGTGAATTTGTTACTGGAAATAGCAGGGATTCTCGATAATAGCAGAAGATCAAGTGAATAGATGTAATACGATGAAAAGGATAGAGCCCGGAAATGTGTAAATTTTATAAGATAACTTAGCGTGCCCTTCTTCAATTCTCACCAAAGTATCCGTCGCCAACATGCATCTTTCTGCAGTAGGAGACTAGCACATCATCAGATGCTATTTCTATCAATTGAGTACCGGTATGCAAGCGATGACAAGCCGCCTAGGCGAGAATTGGAGTTGAACCTCTGCCTTCTTGACAGCTTGAGAGTGGCATGACTGGAGACTTGTTGGGGACTCAAGGCTCAACTAGCTCCCAGTAGCAGCGAGAATCTCAGCATCATCTAGCCAAGAGTTGGCCATGAAGCAGGAGGCAAAAACGTGTATTCCGCCATGAAGCAGATAATAATCACATAGAAAGGCTTAAACAAGTTAGGTGTATAGCTGTATCAACTAGATTGCACGGTAACAGTGAGGCTGGACTTTTTGCAAACCAAAACTGCTAGAATGCTACCCCTTCAGAATGTATTCTTGTCATCCAGCTAAGGGCGCCAAAATATGCCATACAAATCGACCTCGTAGCGAAAAGTGACATCACGTGAATCTGGCCTGGCTCAAAATCCCAAATGTTTCGGGGCAGGACTAGCTGTGCTCCATCACGCTGTTGTTGTTCGTCGGGAGGAGTCCCATAACGTGTAAACGGGAGATTTCAGGCATTCAGTATATTCGTAGTTGGAGGCTTGATCATTAACAATTGGCTGTGTAGTGCCGAAAAGCTCCGCCATGTTGTCAATCAAGCTCGCGATATCGTCATACTTACAACGCCTCTTGCTGTTAGTAGAAAACGCCTAGCCATCACATGATCTGTAGGGGCGAGTGCTATTTCCTAACGTCCTCTGAGTCAGAGCTAAATCAGGAATGGAGGGAGGCAAACTCAAACAAGGTGGTCGCACCCACTTCCAAGTTCGCTACCAAAGACCAGAAGGTGGTCTTGAAAACCGAGCGGTATATTAGAATTTGTGGCAACCTCAGTCGGGTACACCACTAACAATTTCCTATGAATATCATTCTCCACGAAATGGTGCTTACATCTTATGTACTGCTGGGTTCGTAGTTTGTGGCGCAGTTGAACGAGGCCTGACCCAACGGCGAGGCGAAGTATAATCAAAGTTTATGGCAGACCTTGATAAGGTTTCTGGTTCAGCTGCGGGGAGCAAGTGGCCTCGGTATATAACTTCACAATTCAGGATGACAGTAAGCACGAACTAGCGTGATCTCATTAGCAGCCGTTTTCAAAACAAACCTTTCATCTACCCCCCTATATTTAACTAGCTTGGTCTGGGCCCGGTCGCTCGGCGATGAGGGTGAAGATGGATGCGCATATCTCACGCATGATGGACACACGGTTGTAGAGTGGCGCTGCCGCTTATGATCTCCCGTCTCAGCCGTAGTAGAATACGGATCATCATTGTGCCTTCTGATAACTATATATATCAGTGATCTGCCTCATCCTAGGGGCTCTTCACTCCGTCACTCGGACATATTTATCCCTCAACAACTATCAAATACAGTACAAATTATATTCTTCCTCGGAACCATGGCCTCATACACAGGAAGCTGCATCTGCAACAAGGTCAAATTCTCCTTCACTGGTGAACCGAAGCAAGCGGTCAGTCCCCCACGGTGTCTCTTGCATGGGAGACGGCAAGAGCTAACAAGTATAGGCCCTCTGCCACTGCCGCCAATGCCAAAAGCTCAGCGGCTCTGCATTCACTTACAACCTCCTAGTGCCGCGCGAGGACTTTAAATGGACTTCTGGGTCGCCCAAGGTCAGCAGCTTTGTGCAAGAGAGCGGGATGATCGTTGAGTATTCTTTCTGCCCAGACTGTGCGACCATAATGGCCAAGCAGACCGAAAAAGAAGACTTCAAGCCTTTCTACCTTATTCAAGCCGGGACTCTTGATGGATACGAGAACAAGAAGAAGCCCGATGCGGAGTTTTGGGTGAGCCGAAAGGCAGACTGGGTTCAGCCTATTCAGGGGGTTCCACAAATGGCGCAGTTTGAATAAGGCAGTGGAGGACAACTTTACAGCATTTCACCAACCTATGATACTCTGTATTAGTAGGCTGTGAAAATTGAGGTTTCCCAATGGCAAGAGGTGGGAGAAGGAAGAGGTTAGTCACATTGTATCGTCAATAAGAAATGTTCTCTGCGACAAGCAGGAGATTCCATGTCTACTGTGCATGCAACTATAGACTAAAAAGCAGCTTTTAATAATACTGACCATAGAATTGACTTTATACCTCTATCGGGTGCCTGGATAATCTTGAGTTTCTTGGCCCTGAGGCACATCTTAATCTAACCCCCTTAGATGTATGGGAATTTGCACTCTATGTATTTGGGACCTCTGGGCCTGGAGGTTATGGGCCAATATTCAGAGCGGTGTCACCGAGTGGCCCTTACAAGGCCTACTAGAGATGCCCGATGTTATTCACCCAACAAATTCTGTAATCAAGTATGTGGCAAGAAGATAGAGGTAGTCACAGTACTAAGATAGGGCATAGTTCCACCTTGCCCACAGCATTTAAGATCAGGGTCTCAAGACTTGGAGGCGGACAGATGGGAGTCCCACGTATTTACTGACGTTGGCTATCTTGTACCAAGTAGGAGAGAACTTGTGCTGTTTAATTAGCTAGATGAAACGGTCCGTTGAGAAGCGCGTTAGGTAGGCGGTAACCGGCGTGTTTGATCCGGGGCTGTCTGTTTTGATTTACTCCCCATTACACGGCTAAATTCTTGCTACCATTCTTCAGTTGACTCAAGGTAACCAACAAAGTGGTCAGAAAACAAACACCGAACCCAGAATTCAGAGAGGTTTACCACAGCAAAGGGAACGTTGGACATCCTGATACTACTAGAAAACAAACCTCCACTCAATGTCTCTATTGTTGTAAACTCACTCATCGACGAGTGAGCAGTGCCGTTGACTGTTATTGGAGCCTTGAGGATCGACTTGGTTAAGCTAGATATTGGATCCAGTGGGCGCGGCCAGTGAGATACAGTGATTTGAGCTAAAAGGCTGGTTACTTCCAGGTGAGCTGGAAATTGGTTCATTGTTGGCATTCTTCAATGTCGAGGATTACAGCTGGAAGGTCGTTGATATAAAATCACTACCCATATAACGTATCACACGGTGTCAATGACACACATAGAGACGGCGGTATGTGCCTGCAAATGTTACCGCGATCCCTCATAACCATTTTAACAATGGTCGACTGCCCCTCGACTATCTGAATTAGCGTTATCAAAGTGATCCACTGCCGAGTTTGATGATCGCATGAATCTCAAGCTGAATCCTCTACATTCGGCCGAAGAAAACTCTAGCTAAGCAATCTCAGTTGGAGGAACTTAATCCGCGCATGTTACTTCAAAGGAAATCGCGTCTCAGGTTGATGAATTATCTCTTGATTCTTGTCCGCCTCAGGGCCGAACGCCGACTGAAGAGGGTTGTGAATAGCTGTGATTCTAAATTGGGTGGAAAGGAGGAGCGCATTGATGTTGTAGTATCATTCGTTGAGGGCAATTTGCCTTTTCTCGGAGACTTCCTATTGTGTATGCATGAAGCGAGAATTTAGGAGAGGATCGGCACACCATCTATATGCCGGATGAAGGATTAGTATATTTGTCGGGAGCCCCGTTTTTAAACCCCCGCTCTTCTGAATGGGAGGACAGCCAACTTAGGCAAGGCAAGCCGTATTGACTATTTCAATGAGACTTCAGCAGTTTACTGACTATTTCGATGAGACTTCGGCAGTTGTAGGAAGATCTTCGGCCCCCAGTGTAACCATCAACTGAGATGAACTCCACAACCACTTCCGGCAAAGTCAGAACCGGGAAGATGAAACAGGGCCAACGAGCAGAGCATATCTGACCAGGTGCAAGACTGTGACTGATGGGTATCACACATCTTTGCTTCCACATATGGAACTTGCCTCTGAAAACGACTTTCCATCACACAGGGCAACGTGAAGGGCGCTCCATGTCTTTATTCAGTCGGTCATGGCGTTTCAGATGGATACACTTATGCAAATCTTAATCTGTATTTGTAAGAACTCCCTTGATTCTGGTCAAGGCTGTCGGTCTCTCAATCTATATGGATGTAAGTGTTGCTTTGTGCTGGACATACCCGCCGTAATGGATCGGTCAGAGGTCGCATTGTCAGGAGAGAGTAACGTGGTTCCGGAATACGTTTCGGGATACAGCCGACAAGCAGCCCAAGTATAAGAAGAACGAGATATCCTGTTCTCGTCAGGAAATAACCAGCTACAACTCAATTAACAATCTATTTCATTGTTCACTTCATCACTGAGTCGGTCTCAATCTTTCTACTACTTGCACTTTCTGGAGTCTTCTGGCACTTGTTTTCTTATCCCCTTTCCTTCCATCTTACAAATTCGATAATTGTCCAAATATTCCAAGATGCGTCTGGACAGCTTTCTCTCCCAGGTTGCTCTCATGAGCCTAGCTGGTCTAGGTGTCGCCACGGAGCAGCGTGAGCTTGACGGCCGAGACTTCAACATCAACCAGCCTCAGCTTGAAGCCCGGGTTTTCACCGCACCACCCAGACTCGGGATGCGGTTTTCCCCTGGGTTGCCAATCATCATCAACCGCGATTTTGAGGAGGTTGACCTGGAAACCCGCGGCTTGTTCAAGGACACGATGAAGAAGTGCCAGAAGAACCCAAAGATCTGCGAGGCCATGCGCCAGATAGTCAAGCCTGGAAAGCGCGATGTTGAAGAGCCTGAGCTGCAAACCCGCAAGTCGACCATGGGGGCTTCGGGTCGAAAGAGATTGGGGTCTACGCGCCAGAGGATGTGCAAGTTATTTCCATCCGCTTGTCGCTTCCCCAAGCCCAAGGGAAAGCGCCATGTTGAGGAGCCCCAGCTCGAAACTCGCAAAGCCCCGTTCAAGTCCAACTTCAAAGATATGGTCCGCTACTCCCGCGAGCGCGCTCGCCGCACTAAGAAAGCGTGATTGGTCACGCGCTTGACCACCTTGCAGCCTGAAAACTCCGTCTCGACGCTCACTGGACTATGAGAGTGTCCCCACATCCAGATTGCCCTTCCCTCGGACTAACCGCCGACCTCACGCTGTCAGCGTCTAGGAAGCATGAGAAGAGAGCAAAGATGGAAATATGATGATGTATCGACAGGAGTGTCTAGGGTCTGAGTGTAACCGGCAAATCACCCTGTACACGACTATCGTGTTGCCTGTGGAATGTCAATATTGAAAATATCTTGTTATAGTGGATAGATGTCCGTTAGATTAAGTAAGTTATCGAGAGTTTAGCGTGGAAGAAAACATATTAGAAAATCATGACACTTGGGTTACTGTTGAGATGTTTCGGCGTTCCTTGACCTACCTTGCATGTTGTAGGGCAGAAGATTTAAGAGATCTACTACTGTCACGGTAGGTTCTGGACTTTCAAGGTAGATTTTACTCCGTTTAAGTTCTTAGGACACCGTAGAGTCTGGAAGTCTCTACAAAATATAGCAGCGGTATAGTCATGGAAAGGTTCCGAGTTTCCCCTCTACCAAGTAATGTTCCCTGTCGTTGGTCTTCATTGCGGCGGAATGATAGAGAGAGACTTACTGTTTTGAGATTCCGGGTGCTTTTAGCATCTAGCATCTTGTTTTGGTTGAATTAAACTCATTTTTATGTGACCCACGTTAAGGTAGAGAAAGACTTCATTGTAAGGCCGAGGGAAGGGCGGCAGATAAGTGCGGTCGGGCTTGCTTGGCCTTTTTAACTGATCTAGATGCTTCAGTGATTGCTCAAAACAAGGCCCTTGAGACGTAAACCAATCCCCTTGAGCAAATAAACAAGTGATGCAAACAAATAGCAATTAAGTCGAGCGAAGGGATTCGGTCGCAGAAATCTCTAGACGGCAAACTTTAACTACCCGAGTCTAATCCTCTTACATGTGAGTTGAGAACGTAAAAAGCTGCACGAGGGCAAGCAGCTACAAAGAAACATCTTTGAGGCCACATGCGACATAAGCGTTCCGTCCTATTCCAAGCAGGAATGGTGTCATGACTGGCCTTGACCAAGCTTGTATAATCCATATGTCTTGTCTCTTCGTTGTGGAGGGTTTCGCGGAATCCCAGACGGAAAAGACTTTCTGATACAAGGAGATTATTCCAACCAAACTCGGTTTATATTTGGAAAATCGAGCGAGAAGCGAGCCCATCGTACAACCAGGCATAAGGCGGGTTTCATGTAAATCCATGCGTTCAAACCTCGTCAGATCAAAGCGATAGTTATGAGGCCACACAGGATGGATCTAAATGAATCACCAGAAGCTACGATATAGCTAGGTCCGGGTTAATATGGAAACAGAAGATGGCTGCGGTCTTCTGATGCTATATGTAAATTCTGTACCTATCTGGGCGGTGAAAGCCTTCGCTCTGTGGGCACGGACTTTATTAATCCAAGAAGACGGGGTGTACGGCATGTGAGCATGGGATTCCATTTTATGAGGCAGGGATTGATATGTTCGGAGTACGTTGGGCTTTTTTTCTCTTCCCCCCCAGGGTCATGATTGGCATGAAATTACCCGGTAAAGTAAGGAGAAAGTTGATGTTTCATTGAATGGACATTCTCAATAGTCAGTAACTATTTATGTAGCAGTCCAGGTAAGTTTGAGAGAGATAGACTTGGAGGCAGTATAAACTGTTCCCTGCGTAGTACCAGAGGGAACCGAGGTGGCATAGAAGGCATTGGAGCCACTGTATGTCAAGTAGGTACCATCATACCCGAATGAGGTTGCGGAAGACACTGAAGAGCTGCAAGTCAAAGCGTTGCTCTGCACTGCGCAGTTTCCTTTGCTGGTCTTCAAAGTAAAGGTCGAGCCATCGGAGCTGGCCGTCGCAGTGTAAGTGGCAGGTGTCCCCCCGTTTCTATACCAAGTTCCGCCACTGATAAGGAACCCTCCAGATGTAGCGCTGCTAGTGGTCACATAGACATAGCCTGTTCCAGAAAGCTGGCCGGGCGACCCAGTGGGATTAGAACCGGCGCTGGTGGTGGTGGAAGTTGGAGAGGTTGAACCGTCCTTGGGCAGATACTTGATACCAGTTGATGAGCAGGTTGAGCCCGAGCCAACAGGAGCTGCGGGAACGAAGGTACCGGTCTGAACAGAACCCTTGACATTGAAGTGATACCAGAGCTCGTTGAGCGCACCGCTACTGCATCTGATGACAACGTTCTGCCCGTGCTTGGATGAAAGAGCACTCTGGATTTGCGCAAGGGTGTAGGTCTTGGTCGTGGAGGGCACGATACCAGCAGCGCTGAGCCACTCGTAAGTCGGGATGTTCTTGAACTCCTGGACAGCGCGCTCAAAGTAATCGACAACTTCCTCTTGGGGCTCATATGAATTATAGCACTTGGTCTCCAGGCTGCTCATGCATGTGCCATGCTTATTGAACTCATGCTCCCAAAAGTCCTCATCATTGCCCTGATAATCCTTCCAATAAGTCTGCATGTAAGACAAAGTGGAAGGAGATTTCGCCTTCAAGATCGCGGTAACATTGCTCACTTCCCTACTGCTGTCGCAATACTCCTCGTAGGTGCCATCGCAGTTATCAGGCCTAGTTGTTCAATGTTAGTCACGCGGCATGGCTAATTAATCTCATTCTTGAAAGCGAAGCGTACCAAAGCCCATGAACGGTCCAAGAGTCCGTAGGACCAGTGGAAGGGTCATAGTCCCAAAACTGGGTGAGAAGGATCTGCCCGCCGGGGGTGTTGTAGCAGCATGTGTCGGTAGAAGACGACGATGAGCAGCTGAGTGGAGAATCAGAAGGACATGAAACAGAGTCAGCGATGACGCTGCCAGCGAAGGCAACGACGGCCCCGACAACGATATTGGACAGCATATCGAGTGGTAAGGATGTGCGTCGATCTACACAGTCAGGATGAGGTAAGTAGAGCTTAATTTTGAGAGCGACATGGCTGATCTTTATACTAGTTACAGGATGGGGAGACGCATGATGTGGGATGGAGCAGGAGCCGAAACGTAAGGCTCACGTTGCCCCCCATCGTTGCATTGACGACTTAGAGCTCTGGGTTGTCTCCCGTGTTTTTCGAAAGACCCTGATTCTCCATTGGCCGTGGCTAGACACGCCTGAACAGGAAGGTCGGCACTGGCTCAAGGATGGGTAAGGGTCCTTCAGCTGCTGCATGCCTTACTGAATCCCCTCCACACCGGGTAATCGGCATTAATGGGATTGCGGTCGAGACCTGCCCTCCAATGATCACTGCAAAAGATTCTTTGAAAGCTTCCAGACGAACGTAGCATCTTGGAAAGTAAGCAAGTTGACGGGAAGCTAACATGTAAGCTTGAACATTCTCCGCTGCTCAATCCGGTACACTTTTGTTTCTCATTAGTCACAGACGTTCAGATGCTTCTATCTACAGATTCAGTCTTGCCACACTCTAGGCTATACACCTGCCAAACGCGGCCATTGTGGGCGCGCCATTACGTGGTCCGGCCTCTTCATCAAGTCATTATCTCTTCGTCTCCATCGACAACGACTGGTCATTCTAGCGACACGCCGGCAACGGCCGATAGCCGCCTTCACTGTCCTTGTTCATTCTCCCTAGTACGAAAAGTTCCTATTAAAACGGCAGGTTGACTTTTGATGATAAGGTGCGGAGTAGCAAAATTGTTTGAAGGTGGCCACTTGCATCGGCGATAAGACCAAAATAGTCAACTCCGTTCTCTCACTGCGACCAAGCTTCAAAGAACTAGAGTCCCTTCTTCATGGTGAGATGAAACCGACTGTTGTAGATTGCAGCATTCCCATTTAGGTCTAATTGGTTCCCTCCTCAATTCCAACTTGGAGAACCTTTGTCTCTAGTGTCAAATGACGGCCCATCTTGGTATTTCGTTTCCCATTTTCCACTCTCTCTCTATATTTCGCGCCGTGTGTGGCGCCGTGTGTGGCGCTCTACTCACTTTATCAGCAGCGTTTCTCTGCTGCAAACGCAGTATTGCTCTTCACTTTCCCTCTTAATTCAATAGGCAATACTGGTCGAACTTTGAAGGGTGTATGCTCCGGAATAGATATATTCGCACAACTTGTTAAAGTTTCAGGATAGAGGCCTAGGCTAAAGCTAAACAGCAGACAACACCGAGAAGACGAGAGCGATGGGTGTCATAAAACTGCCACTTGCTACAAGAGCAAATGAATCAGACATATTTGAAAACCAAAATGGACCAATCTGTGACACTCTAGTCTCCCTCACGGACATCGGAACTACCCCCCATCTATATCGAACGAGGTTTACCAGTACACCAATATCATCGGCGGCTTTAGGATAACAGCCAACAGCATCTATGAGGATGTTAGTAAGTCAAAATACATTAGCCTTAATTCTGCTCACGGGTAACAAGGATGGTGGTAATGGCCTGATTGCCAAATCTGGTGAGAGCAATGCCCTCAAAGGGAGTGATGCTTCACTGCATGTCTAGAGTACGCTATAGCTGAATGGTGAAGATAAGAAGTCCGACGATTAAGATCAAGAAACCAGAAGATGATCTCCATAGTCGATGCTCGGCGGGTGGCTCTGGCTCAATGCTTTTACGTCCCTGGCCCCGTAACCTACCGATGGCCAGGCCACCAACAAGCTCGCCAGGAATGGACCCTAAGATGCCGGTTGTTAAGAGCAAGGGTGTCTGTATCAGGAGACTCGTATGCCCTATTATAGTGGTGGTGAACTGAAGTCACTGTTGCTGTCCGTTGAAGTCGAACTTTGCCTGAAAGTCTGCGGAATCCCAACCGTCATCATAATGCTAGCAAATCAGAAAACGTTGGCGTAGTAACATACCGAAATCGCTACAGATGCTATTTGCAAAAGAGTCATCGGTTTGTAAAATTCTCTCAACTTAAAAGGCTCAACGTTTATACGACTGAACATTAAGTAGGGCCTCATCAAAGAGCCTGGTGGTTGTATCGTCTTTTCGCCTGGTGGCGTCCATAGCTTCCCGGGCTAAAGAACAAGTACGCCAACAATTGAATGCCGTTGAGCTATATCCTCAATCTAGTGAGTGATTTATTATTTTCTTCCCCTCGCACTTGCGATTGACAAGATTCAAAAGATCTATCGCCACCCAAGATACTAGCTCAAGGCACCCATCACGAGCGGTCCGGCTGCGGGTCTAATACTTATCAGTACAGGATCTCTCGTTAGACACAGGAGAAAACAAGCGTAGGTAACACATGTCCGGTAGAAATCAGAAGTCTGCTCGTCGTGTGAGTATGAGCAGCAGCTGGAATTCGTATTATGAGATGAGGTTGAGGTTGCTCATACGCAGATGCCCTGTCATCTGCCGCTTTAGTTTATTTGATGCCGGAATCGACAGGCTAAAACCACATCACGACGCTATGTTCGCGGAACAGTAATTAGGTTGAGAGCGATTGAAGAAAAGTCTTATGATCGACTGCATTTTCACCCAGGATGATGAGCTAGTCAAAAAGTATGGGCTCGAGACTATCAAGAAGGAAACTGTCGGTGTAGAGAAGGATGGCTTCTGGCTTCTCGAGGTCAACTTTGAGTTGGTGAAGTAGAGCGTCGCCCCCACGAGAGACTCAGGATTGAAGTTGTTGTTGATTATGTATCTTCTTATGGCTCTTCATGAGTTGTATATTTTCTGTGGAATAACCAAATCAGATTATCAATATGGGCATACATTCGGCAACCTAGGTTACCTCGCCAAATCAATTGACTAGATAGTTTATGCTAGTACTCAGGAGCTTCCTGGCCAGCCCGCCATCTATACTTACTTCCTGGGTGGTCATCGGGTAGCTTCTTTGTGCCAATAAAGACCTCCCTAGCTGTAGCTCCCTCCTTCTCAACTCCTTCCCTAAAAAGCCCACGACGTCTAAGCTCTGGCAGGAGGTACTCGATGATGTCCTCGAAGGTTCCTGGGTTGGTGATATGGGCCAAATTGAACCCGTCAACACCACCAAGCTCGACCCATTTCTCCAGCTCATCAGCGACAGTCTTGGGACCACCGATAGCCTTCGCTTGAAGGCCACCAAGACTCAGATACTCGATAATTCGTCGCTTTGTCCATGGAAGGTTGTCTGTTCCCGGAACAGTATCGGCCCACCTCCTGACCATGGACTGAATCCGAGGTGAGTCGCTGTGCAAAAAGTTCTGGTCGTCATCGTACTTGGAAAGGTCAACCCCTGTCCACCCTCCAAACAGCGCAAGAGCGCCTTCCTCGTCGGTATACTTCAGATGCTCAGCCCGCTTAGCATATGCTTCTTCATCTGTTGCGGCCACGATAACACCGAGGCCTAGAAGAATCTTGATATGATTAGGGTCTCTCCCCTCCTTAACAGCAATGCTGCGCAAGTTGTCCACCGTCTTGCGGACGCCTTCTTTGGTTTGCCCGCCGATAAAGATGGCCTCGCCATGCTTGCCGCCAAAACCATTACCGGCTTCTGAAACACCGGCTTGGAATAGCAACGGGGTGCGCTGCGGGGAGGGTTCACAGAAATGGGGGCCCGGCACTTCAAAGTACTTGCCCTTGTGATGAATCTGGCGGACGGCGTCATTGGCAATGTATTGACCAGTCTCCCGATCGGCCACCACTGCATCATCCCTGAAGCTGCCTTCCCAGAGCTTGTAGAGAACCTCCAAATACTCGTGGGCAATGGCGTATCGCTCATCATGAGGGATTTGCTCCTTGAGGCCGTGGTTGCGTGCTGCACTGTCAAGATACGAGGTGACGATGTTCCAGGCGACACGGCCTTCGCTGAGATGGTCAACCGTCGAGAGACGTCGCGCCAGGGCGTACGGCTTGTCGTATGTTAGACTGGCTGTGACGCCGAAAATGAGATTCTTTGTCGCTGCCGCCATGCTCGGCACGAGAAAGAGGGGGTCGTTGACTGGAAACTGTGCCCCTGAACTAAGGGCGGGAACAACATTGGCAGGGCCTTTGTACACATCATACGGACCCAAGGTATCAGCGATGAACATGGCATGGAAGTTTGCTTTGTCGAGGAGCTGTGCAAGCTCCGTCCAGAACGACAGCTTGGTGTATTGGTCAGTCTTATTCCTCGGGTGTCGCCATTGACCTGGTGATAAATGGCCCGGTGTGTTCATAACAAACGCATTGAGAATGATTTGCTTCTTGCTGCCAGAGCTGGCAGTTTCACTTTTGTCCGCCATGATGGAAGTATACGGGATTGATCAAGGCTAAGCACGCCGGATGGACTAAGGAGCACCATATGAGAAGTGAAGGAGGAGGGGTTCATCCGTCTATATGCAATCGAGGAGGCACACATTACCAATCCCACCATCGGGCGTGCGCCGTTAATCTTCTTCTTCCTCCGCATTATTCCTTGGCTACGTTATCCGAAGCACGTTTATCTGCGTCTTAGCGTGTCATTGAGGGTCTGGTTTTGGTGTTGTTGCGACACAAAGTGGGGGTTTGTCACATTGCATCATACGCACGCAAAAGCTCGTGATGCCCATCTCAAGCCGATCTCGCACGAAGTCCGGCAGTTGTTAGTTGTGAGATAAGAATGAAGCTATATCGCCTCCGTAATTCTTTGCCTTTTTAGAATTCCATTGTTGGGTTTTTATTTCGGAATTATTGAATCAAATAATGTAGTATCTTGAATCAGATTGAGAAGAAGTCATGCCAAACTCCATTATTTCAAAGTGTCTCTCGACAAATTGCTTAAAAGATACTGTGAAGATAGGAAACGATCATAAACAAAAAGGAAAGTTATATTAAGCCTTCACTGCTCCCAAGAGAACTTCTTAGTTGCTTTCTTTGGAATATCTTGCCGGCTCTCATGCGGTAGGTAGTGTAGCTCTAGGGTAGGCGTGGGGAATTGGTTGAATGAATCGATCCGGGACGCGCGACACATCAATGTTTCAGAGTCTCAAAATCTGATGGTCCTGAATGAGATGCGGCTCTTTCTCCTGTCTCCCGCCATGGCAGATCGATGGAATCAAAGACAAGCCAACCTGACTCTTAAGCTTACTTCCAGCCGACAGGCCCAGGCACCCATGACTCGCCGTAGTGAGACGATCCGTGGATCTGTGGCGCCTTTCAAAAGGCCCAGATTGCATTAATTCACCGCTTAGTCACAGACTGGGCCTATGAACGGCCATGTCGCGTACCAAAATAATCCACTGGAGTCGGCGCCAGTGTGGCTGAAGAGAGGGCGGGAGTCTAGACTCCGGCGGACTGTGTCTAGGTTTGGTTTCGGCAGTGCCTCTTGACGGCCTACAATCATCAAACCTCCTCCCATCTCCTCCATCTGTCCCGTCGCCCTTTTCATCGTCAGAACTGCATCGCCAGACCGAAACGATGGCGGAAGAGGGACTCGAGATCCCCAAATTCGTGGTGGATCTATCGCTGCCGCCCCGCCAGCGGTACGACCACATCGTGCCGCACTTCCAGCCCAAGATCGACTCTTGTAATCTGCACGAGCTCTTTGACGAGCTTCTCGTGGAGCTGGTAGGCGAGAAGCTGGGCAACTGGCTCAAGAACATATCCCCAGCCCTTTTGCGCCGCGTCCGTGGCCCGGAAGAGACCGAGGAGCTTGTCGGAATCTCCAAGGCCTCGGGGATTTCAAAGCATATCCTGGTCGCCTTCAACGTCCTGCTAGATCTGCTGCTGGGGTGCACTAGCGGCGGTGTCCGCGTCGCCGAGGAGAAATCTTCACGGAGGACGCGGGCCTCGTCGAAATCACCATCGCGCCCATCGCGGATGATTCATTTCCGGACTTTGGATTGGGGCATGGACAGGCTGCGAAATATCGTTGTCGAACTCGACTTTGTGCGACACCGCGATGGGCCTGTCATTGCCACTTCTTTGACATATCTCGGGTATGTGGGCGTCTTGACTGGGGTGAGGAAGGGCCTGAGTATGAGTCTCAACTTCCGACCTCACCATGCTTCGTCGACTTGGTGGGATCAGGCTGCTTTTCGCTACAACCAGGCCATGGTGGTATTGGGATTCCGGCATTCCATCTCCAGTTTGCTGAGGCAGACTCTGCTTGGCCCTCCAGTGCAACAACAGCAGAAGCCTGCAGAGAAGAAGGAGAAACTGTCCAAATCGACATCCCCGACCGGAGAACTGGATGAATTTGGTGAAGCGGATGTGCAATCATTATTGTCCAAGTTGAAGACGTCGCCGTCAACGTCGGCCTATCTGATCTTTTGTACCCCCCAAAAGGTCTACGTTGTCGACAAGGACAATCGCCGGGGACCCGTGCGAGACTCTGACACCTTTTTGACTGCTTATAACCATGATGTCGCCGACGAAAAGGATCCTTCGCAGCTCAAAGACGCAGTTGCAGAGATTGCCCAGGGCCCAACCATCATGGGGATGGACGACATTGTCGCGTGTTCCCTAGACCGCAAGTGCCACCTCGACGAGCTCTGGCGAAAGAGTGTTGATGCTTTTGAGAAGAAGAACGGCGAATCGGCCAGGGCGATCAGCATGGATGATGTTCGCGGGTTCGTGAGGGACCCGGAGATCCGGAACGAAGAGACACATTACGCGATCATCATGGATCCTACTGATGGGAAAGTTCTCTGGCGAAGAGTATTTGAGGAAGGGACATGACGGGACAACAAGTATGAAATGAAATGATGAATTAGCGAGTTTGGTTTCCATGTTTTCGCATCTGAAGAGTTGATTTCTATGGTTGGAATTATATTACATTACATTACATTACATTAGTACATTATAAGATGATATAATCATGCTATCTCGATAGATCTTTGCACCCGTATCTTGGATGGCGGCAACGGATCAAAGCGATGCATCGAGTCGGAGCTCTCATCTTCGCGCCCTGCCCAGCTCCTCGTTGTGTTACGGTACTGGCTACCGCCAACGTCAGCCCACGGCCGGTCTAATCCGCCCGGACCATCCGTCATTTTGTAACTCGAGGACGTAGCTGCATGTCTCGTTACCGCTGAATCATACCAGCTTCGAGCTCGTGTGCCTGCGCTGGTGAATAATGGCCCTAGTGTTGGTACGCAACCGCAGATAATGGCCATGCCGAGCTGCAGAGTAGAGCACAACACCGTCTTGGCGAATTGGACTTGAATGTGTTAGTTTGGTTCATAAAGGTAAAGAGTGTTTGGATGCTCACAGTTAGCCATCACATTTGGTGGATTCCATATAGCAGTGACACGGACAATGCTTGTCACGCAGACCCTACATCATGTTAGATTTTCCAGATACGCCTAGGGTGAGATGACCGTGCAGGTAACACTTACGCAGCACCCAGCAGAAAAATTCCCAACAAGGAAAACTTGCGATTCCTATCTAACCGTAGGTGTCTTACGGCATAGACTGGGATTAAAAGAATGCCGACATCAATGAAGAGATTAGTTAATTCAACAGCAAGCAGTAGCTTGGGCGTGGATATGCAAGTATCTGCTTGTCCGAATGTGTCCCATAGGTAGTTGATGGGCCTGCATTGAAAGATGATTAGGAAGGTGAAGACGATCCACCATACCAGACATATGGCCGTGCTGGTCCAGATGATCCTTTTCTGAGCCTTTTCCACGCCGAATAGTGTCCAGTAGAAGGCGAGGATGCTGAGTTTGACAATGGTAATGTCTAGCGTAAATATCAACTCAATAGCGAGACCCATCTATCTCTCGTGTCAGCTGTTTGATTCCTTTCTTCTTCCAACATGGCTGGATTTCAGTGCCCAAAGAACAACCCAAACTTGCCTTCATGAATGCCTTGGCTTCAGACATGCCAATATCTGAGCCTCCGGAAATGATGCCGCTCCCCTCAAATGCACCGGTCTTTGATACATTGAAAATATCTTCATAGTTTTAGTCAGACCATGTAATCTTTCCTTTCCTTTTGACTTTTGGGCATCTCTTACGATTGAAGATGACGGCGGCGTAGGCAACAAAAACGAGATATGACACTAAGCACAGCCAGTCCGTCAAATAAGGAGGCTGGCGGAGAGTAGACCGCACGTAAAAGCGCAAAGCAATAAAAATGATTGCTATCACGAGCATAGCCACGCATCCTGAGAAGTTTTGGAGCGCTCCGAATGATAATTCCGAGAAAGCCGCCATTGCGATCAGGGTGTATGTCGCAGCAGAGGTGGCGTCAGAGGCGAGGCCTCTTGTCGCGAATAGCGATTGGAGACAGAAACGCCCGCTCTGTTTGATGTCTCGATGTTCAGTTGATGTTTCTCATGGTGCCAGTATGGGTAGGGGACGTAGGTCGTGATCGGTGGGAAGCTAGGCGAGAATGACTTGCTGGATGAACCAGGAACCCCAAACGCACGGCTTCTTGATGGCTCTTCCTGCAAGAACCGACACTTTCTTCTCCCTTGCCTCCTAAAACATTACTGTGTCGGCCCAAACGACTGGCCAAACAGCTAGAAACCCTAAAGTGAAAGCGAAGAAGGGGAAGCAAGAAAAGAAGAGGAAGAAAATCCCCCCAAAAGAGGATGCAAAAATTTAGATAAAACCGGCCAGCAAGAGACAAAGATTAAGAGGTATAGAATATTACTATATTACTACTATTTGAGGACCCTGATACGTCAGAGACGGAGGAAATCGTTTTTGGGAAAGGTCTAGATTGCCAAATCCTGGCTGGTTGGCTTGATGCCGAACCTCCATGTATGGAGCGTGACTTGAAATCCCTGCCGGACCAGGATGGCAGGCTCAACACCGTGCTGAGCGTCGTACGATCAACCCAGGAAATACGCTATCTCCGGTGTGCAAGAGGGTTGAAGAGGGCTGCCCGTTCAACCTATCCACCCGACCCGATAAAACGTTCGTCACTCACACGTGCACGGGCAGTGGCAGGGTAAGACCCTTGCCTTGTTTTCATTGCCGATTGATGAATCTTAATTACTGGGAGGAGTTCCCAGCGTGTGGTCAGCGGATCAGCTTACCCACCGATTCATGCAACGAAATGAACACAACCCACGATCGTTGAGTTCTCAGTGCTCACGCGAGTTCCGAGCAGGGCCCACGGTTCTGGTTGAGCTAAGAACAGACAGGCATTGGAATTCCTTTATCGGTCTTGCCCATTTATAGCCTGCGTGGGGATGTCTTCTCTTCCCTCCCTAGCTCCCGGCCCCCAAACGCCCGTCAAGCCCTGGTCATGTCTACATGACGCAATTTAATTATTAGTCTTCTCCCTCTATCTCGTTTCTATTTTTCGTGATGACATATTCAACTCGAGCACAGCGCTAGTTATAAATTGGATGCATGTTGTCCCTAGAGTGATCTCAAGTATGAAAGTCTGTGACGCGGATTTCTCATGTGAAGAAAACATTGATCTTTATTTTTCTCCTGCAGGTTTAAAAATCGGCTTTTTATCTCATTCTTACATCATGTCTCTTGGCTCAAAGACAACCCCATTCAAGGATACCTCGACCTTCACATCTGCACGTCCCGTAGCGTTTCGTTCCTGGCTCAGCCAGGGGCCGGAATCGCACAGCACAGGCAGTGTACTCTCATGAATCGCACAGTGAAGAGACTGTCCCGAGACTTCAAAGTACCTGATAGGCTACATGCTGCAAGCCTAAGGGGCTTCTAGTAAGGAGAAAAGCCTTGTTTCCCTCCGAACAGAATGTGCTGACGAGCCATGTCACGAGAATCTAGAAAAAGCTGCCCAGAAAGGACTGATTTATTGCATTATCCCTACAAATTATCTCTCGGATCAACTACATTTTCGTGATACTCATCACCGTAGTGCTCCTTCCACATATGATGCAGGACCCGTATACCGCCAGATTCGGCCATACGTGTGGCATCCCACATCACATATCCCCACCTCCGCAAGCTAGAGGGCACGTAGTATCCATAAACGTTACTGTAGGTCTCCTTCCATATCAGAGTCCATCCCAGAGGAGGCGAGTCTACGGTATCGTGGGAAAAGACCATGGTCTCCCGGCGGTCCTGCGCAGCATCTCGATCTGAAGGCTGGGTCTGGCGCCGTCGTTGCTGCACGGCATCGCTTGTAGCCTCGCACACCCAGTCCTCGTCCATGAAGACGGTATCCTTGATGGCAGTGAACATCTGCCACTTCTTTTCCGGCTCCTCTGTTCTGAGAAAGGATAATAGGAGGGTCAGCCCTGAAGCAGCCAGACCAGTTTTATAGCCCCGCCGGACGACTTTCAACGACGAATGTTAGCATCTACAAAATCTATGATGATAGAGGGAGAAGTTCTTACCGGGAACACCCAGGCTAAGGATGCCGGGAGGGCTCTGTAGAAACTGTTTGAGGCCAGAAAGGGACTTTTTAACGGGCTGGAAATCAAATTCATCAATTTCTTCAAATACACGCTCATATGTGTTGTCCGCGAAATCATTTATGCAGAGAATCTCCTCCGTCTCCCACGGCTCAAAATGGCTGAGGAGGGCGAGATGCTCGTCCTGTGTAAACTTTGGTCTCGAGTCGGAACGCGGGAGGCCGAAAAGCGAGCAGAAGATCTGGAAGCGGTACATGGCCCGTATTACTCTCCTGTTCTCGACTTCTCTCAGAACCGTCTCCTCCTCGAGGGTGAAGACGGCGTATTCGCGTATCAGAGGCCGCACGACGCTGAGGTAGAATCTTGTCATGGCAGCAAGATCCTCCGCCTTCATCTCTTTGTATAACTCTCCAACCCCTCCTGAACGTCGCGAGTAGTACCCCTCTAGGAAGGCTTGCACGTTTTGGCGGCTGCAGCCGAAATTGGGCTTGCTGCACAGGGTTGCGGTGTGCGCGTCGATGATGCCGTCGCCCATCTGTGCCCGCAGGTATCTCCATAGCCAAAACCCCCGGCGACGTGCGTATTGGTCGTGAAAGACTGGGGATGCATGCACCAGAGCAGAAAGGTCCTCGATATTGCCAAGAGAGAGAAGAATGTGGTGCCGGATCTCGAATGGGAGCAGCTCCAGTTGTTGCGTACCAGGACGTGCAGGCGAATGAGCCTGTGATGTCTTTTGCGTGACCGTCTCTGATCCTACCGGCTCTGACTTGGGCTGAGGTGCTCGTCCAACAGGCGATGCGTCGCTTTTGAAGGCGCGCCGTGGATTGAGGATCCTCTTCAATTTTTTCATGCTCGTTTATTACTCCTTGAAACTGCCGGTGTGAAAGCAAGGATGAAGAGCCGGCAAGCGAGGCGAGGGACGGGGCAACTCGCTTACGAGACAGCTACACGATGCGAGAATTACGGGGTCGAGCAGACAAGCTGGCGCTGGAAGAGGTGAGCGGCGGATTGAAGTGGTGAATGGGTGGAGGGCGAAGACTTGATGATGATGATGATGATGCTCAGAATAGGTGGTCCCATCCCCCCCCTTTTCATACATGATGGCACTAGCCAGCCAGATGGATTCGCTGTTGGCCGCTCCTCTGGCTGCTTGAGACTCGCAGCATGCATCTACTAATTACCTAGCGGCCGGTCAGCACAGCCTCCTCCCTGCCAGAAAGCTTGGCAGCACGACCTGCATTGGGACATGAATCATGTGCTGCTTCTTCCCCCGGCACACAAGTGATTGTCCCTGTGTCACGCGTGAATGGCTCGGCAATGTCTTTGGAAAACGTCCTCGCTCTCTATTTGGGGAGATTTTCTACCTAGAGGGGAGTGTCACACTACACTGATATACACTATATAATTAAAGCCCTCAACAAGGGGCTCGTTACCGGATCGACATCACCCCGGCCGATTCTGCTGGTTGCTGATACCCCAGCCCATCGTCGCCCAGTTGAGCTGGTTGATGTTCGAATTGAAGCTCGTTTGGTCGGGCATCCCGATACCCATCGCTTCCATCTGGTTATAGTCAAGCTGCCAGTCCATCCCCAACCCTCCCGGCATGTTCATCATAATATCATTAATGTTAATGTCATCCACATCAATAGATCCCGTCTGGCTCTGCGGGGATTCGCCTTCTAGACGCGCAGCTTGGATCGCCTTCACCCTCACCACGATATCGGGTGGTGCTACGCTCCGCCCCAGGGCCTCCTCGGCTTGCACGCGGGCATCCCACGTCAACAGGATGATTTTCGTCAGATTTCTGAAAAGAGGGTTCTTGGACTTCGTCTCGACCTTGAAACGCATCTCGCTATTGTAGCTCAGGCGCATCGCGCTGTTCTCGCTCATGGCTCGCCAGGCGTGTTCGGCATGTCGGTTGAGAGGATTTTGCCGCAGAGCATACACAAGATGGATGTAGCCAGGAAGAGGGAAATGGATGTTGCCCATCCAGACGAATCCTTTCACCGAAGGGAGACTGATAATTTTCGTGTCGCTCTCCAGCATGGTGATGGCCTGAAGGATGGCGGCGTCGTTCTCCGCCTCGGTGGGAGGGGTGTTTGATGACGCCTTGGAGTAGTGGACAACCAGTCGCGCCTTGGCTAGAGTCAGGCGGGTTGTCCAGATGGTCAGGAAATGGAGGGGATTCTCCGGATCGCAGAACTTGAGATACTTCTCCTCCACCCTCTTCTCCAACGTCTCGATGCCCAGACCGTCGTTTTTGGCGACGCTGGCGACGGCCTTGAGTGCTGGGATATTGAAGTCCAGGTATGATGATGTGTGGCGATAGAAGTTGGCAATGTCGCTGCGGACAACGGCATAGATGGCTTCGCTTGACTTTGGCTCCATGGCCGGGAACTCCTTCATCTCGGGCCTGAGGTCAGAGTCGTTCAGGCTCAGCGGAACCTGGCAGTCCCATGTGGGAGCGAGTGCTGCACTCTTGTGGTCGGCCATTTCTCCGACCCTAGCGTCATAGAGAATCAGAGACCACCACAGCCGTCTTCGCATCTCAGCCTCTAGTGGGGGAAATGTAGAGTTTGATGCCTCTAGATGAATACCCATGCGTTGGGCAATTCGCACGGCAACGCCGAGCATCGATGACAGGCATCGAGGGTCTGTGGCCTTGGAGACAGACAGCTAGAGAAATGAGTTAGCTACCCAGTGATAAGAATTGGCGACAAGGTACCCACCAGGTAGAGGTAAAAAGCCGTTAAGCAGTCTCGGTCCCCCGTTCGTAGATATCCGCACTTCACCAAAGCTTGCTGGCACCCGTACTGATACTTATGCAAGAGATCATCCCTCGGCGAGTTGAACGTTGCCCGGCAGTCGGCATCGGTAAGTGAGTGGATGGCCATGGAGTAGATTCCAAACATTAGAGCCTCAAGCACAGGGCTGACTTTCTCAAAGTTACTGACAGCCTCGATGATGCACGGCTGAAGTGTAGGAGTGTGGGTTACTTTCAACAAAGGGTTGACATTGTCGAGGTAGATTTGCCAGAGCCGAAAGACCTGAACGGGCTCCGGTTGTAGGCTGGGGATGTCGATGACTGTTTTTCGGATACCGAACAGGATCTGGTCGTTATCTTCATATATTTCATCCCATGCCTCTCTAGCCGCTACTTCGCCAATATGTTCTGTTTCTTGAAACTATAACATATGATTAGCACACGGACACTGGACAAAAGGGAGAAGCAGACCCGTACCCCTTGACGCATGGCGTTCCAAAAGTTCCTACAAGAGTATGAATTAGTCGCTGAATTTGAATATGGCAGAGTATCTGATACAACAATTTCACGGGACAGCTTACTTTGCTTCGGGTAACCGATCCGAAGAGCCGGGGAAGTCCGCAGTGGCCTCTGGAGAGCCGGGTTCTGATGCATCGTCACCATGACCATCGGGGTACTTGGTGTGAGGATCATCCTTGTGCATGGGATCGAACTTGAGGTTGTTCTTGCGCAGTATGTCCTCATACCGGCGCAGACGCTCCAGAAGTTCCCGCTCGGGGAAGCGACGTTTCCGCTGCCGGGGGACCAGGTTGGCAGGGACACATTGGGCGTTGGACTTGATGCAGTTGGAGCACGGGAACTTGCGCTCACACTTGATCTTGCGCTGCTGACATAAAATACATGCCAGGATCCGCTTTGACTTGAGACCCTGAGCGGCAGGACCAGGTGTGTCTGGCGAGTCGCCGGACGGGCTGGTGTCGGGGGTTGGTTGCGACCCGGACATGGCGGTCGTTTGCTGGACTGCTCAGCATAGGAGGTACATGTGAAGGCGGCAAAAGAGGGGTTTGGGCTGGCTTTCTGGGATCGGATCTGATGGAGAACGGCGGGATCAGTCCTACGGCGCAGGATCTGGACGGCCACGAGACCGACCAAACGGAAGACTACCACGGCGGCCTTGGCAAGGCAGATACGGCAGATACGTTTCCTCGGGTACGGCGACCGTTGCTCTGTCCGTTTGCCTCGAGTGACAACGAGGAATGACCAGGACCAGAGTCTGCCGACTGCATGATGACGGCCGAGCGGGCCACTAGGACTTTAGTAAGAGGCGACGGCACAGGAATGCCGGTCAGCAGCAGGCTTCAGAGCCTAATCGCAAGCTTTGCTCGGACTTTACTGATCTCCGCGTCATGTGACTGCATATCGGGCCAATATGAGCATGGAATTCAGGGCGTAAACAAAGCTAGGTCCAGCTACTCCGTACTGGTGGTTGGATCCTACGGCAATGAGTCACGATCGATCGAACATGCTGTTTCAAACATAGCGTTGCAACGGTGCCTTTTTAGTATTTTTACCGTCCTGGCATCTGAGTCGTCATTATTGTCGTCAACTCAGAAGAAATCCAATCAATTTCTTGCATTCGGTCGTCCAAGGCTTCAAAGTTCTCACTTTCTCGTATTGCGTATCTCACCAATTTCCTGCGCCGCTCTCCCACTTGAACAAAGTGCCATCAAGAAAATCATTCAATTACTACCCATTACATCTTGTCCTTTCACATTGAAAATTACCCATCAATCCCCTATTTGAAGGTATCGATATTATGACTCATACAACCAAATGACATCAATATTAGATAGCAAGTGCAGCAGCCAGCACAGCAGCCCCAGCGCCAATCATGGGTCTTGAGACGGCACCAGAAGTATTCGAGGTCTGTGCCGCAGCGCTGGTACCTGAGGGAACATTCCCACTGGAGCTGGTAGACACGACGGTGTCGCTCGTGGTCGTCTCACTCTGAGCTGTGGTTGTCGTACTGGGAGTCTTCTTCGTCGACTTTGAAGTTTTGGTAGACTTGGAAGACTTGGTAGAAGTGGGTGTTTTCGTGGCCGATTTCGTGCCTGTCTTCGTGCTGGTGGATGTCTTCTTCTTTGCGTAATCGACATCGACCTTGACACCCGAATTCCAGACAGAGTACCTCTTGTCTGACTTGGAGCCGCAGGCCTCCTTCTTGTTGCCCTTGCATTTGTATGTGCATTTGCTGTCATCAACGATGTCCACCTTGGGTGGGTATTTGTCACCACAATAACAGGCGTCGCCGGTCATGGCAAAGACAAGTTTTGTTTGCTCCAGGCACAGGGCGCCGCACGAAGCTGAGGAGTTCTCCGTGCCGTTGACAATCTTCTGCTTCTTGAGGCCCTGGCCGGTGCCGAAGCAGCCCTGCGACGTGAAGCCGCCCAGTACCGCAGCCCGCCCGGGCTTCTGCAATGGCTCAGCGGCCGCGACCAGGGGCAAAGCCGCCAGCATGAGAGCCGCGACAGTAGAAATGAACGTGGACTGGACCATTGTGAATCACCTCCGAGGCGTGTGAACTAAAGCGAGTGAATGATGGAGAACTGTGAGTAGACACGAACGGCCATGGCTCTCGACTACCGAGGGTTAATAAGATTTAATAAGTCGCCTCAACTTAAGATTATTGTGACACAAGTTCTCCAAAGGTCCATCCTCTACGAGAACCAAAATCCTTCGCAGATCAGCGTGCGCCATCAAGCAGCCTGTCCACACAGCGGTCGCAGGTGTAGGCGCCGGTCGCAATAATCGAATACGACGCTAATCGCCATTCTGCCTAACGGGATGAGACCTACATACACGGCAATTTGACGCAGGGGCTCTAGCGGCTGACCTGCATCGTGATAGTAGCACTCGTAGGTGCCTTTGGTGAGAGCTGAACATGACTCCCTGCACATGAAGGATCCCACCTCAAGCCACGCGGTAACCAAAGTGACATTCCTACAAGGCCCTCACGCCACAAGGCTGAGTTTTCGATTTATGAGAGAGCGGAAGATCTCCCGCAGACAGCCCTGCTTCCAAAATTCCTTGGTGCGATATGCTCCCAACCCACTAACTTATGGTGGTGTAACCTTGGTGGTAGGCTTGATACCCACCGCTGTACATGGTTAAAAATAACCATGATTAGGGCGCTGAAGCAGCCCTGCGAGATAAAGCTAGGTATGAACGTACTTTTTGATCTAGCCAAGCTAATTTGAGGATGCTCACAACAGCCATGCTCCTAACCTGGACGTTTAGAGCACCTGCCAAATTTCTTTATCAATAAGATCAATATCCCATCCTTCTGTCACTAATAGCCAAAACCCTAGCATTGGTACTCTTGGAGAATGGCGTCGACGTGAGAATGTGCTAGGAGTGGACTTAGGCAGGTGCTGGAAGAATTCACGCCAGCGTTAGGGTAAGATTTTGCACAGGTCGGGAAAAGGGTAAAGAAAAAGAAAACAAGTCGTTGTAGCTCAATGTTGAACACTGCAATATACGACGAGGACCAGCATCATCCACTACAGAAGAGGGAGGCGTCAGCAGCGTCGCCAAGCTCAATGGCATCTGGCATCTCATCTCATCTTAAACTTGCTCGCCAAAATCTCTATTTTGCTAGGACACGGATGACAGTGGGGGACCAGTGAAGGGCACAGATTGGCTGCATCGGCTATTGGCCTTATAACACGGGCAATAATGAAACCAAGCCCTTGGGGCTGTGAGCTCTCTGACGCGTGGGCGAGACCAGTAAGCACCTTGAGGTGTGAGCTTCTTCATTCCAAAAGGTGGCCGTTGATTATTGCTGGCCCTCGCATTGATGAAACTGGCCTATTCCGGAGAAGATCAGCCGAATTTTGGCGACGCAGCCAATGGCAGAGTCTGACGATCCTCCACTTTGTGAATCTCGCCAATGGTGGAACCCGGCTATGCAACATTGGCATCTGGAGACACTCATTCTCTAGAAGATGTTGCGTTGCTGTGATGGTAAAGTGAAGACGAAGATAGTATGAGCAGGGAGACGCATAAATATGAGCTGGAATCTCCTCGTTCTGCCGTTGGAAACATCATCTCCAACGCATCGCATCTTTTTCTCGGTCTTCCAGCGCTTCAATCATGTACAAATCCATCTCTCGCCAAGCCCTGCTTTACGGCTTTCTGTTGAAGCCTATCCTGGCTCTACCTAAGACCAGGGATACCAACGAAACCACCTTTAATTGGGCTTCAATCGAGCCTTCATCCAACCTTCAATACAACGACTGCTACAACGGCTACAAGTGCGCTCGTCTTGAGGTCCCCCTTGACTGGCTAGAGACCAGCCAGGGCAACGGTACCTCTCTCAAAGCTGCCATTGCCATTGTAACTCTTCCAGCCACTGTGCGGGAAGATGATCCCAACTTTGGCGGCACCATCCTCGTCAACCCCGGCGGCCCGGGAGGGTCCGGCACCGAGTTTGTTCTTTCTGAAGGAGCATATCTCCAGAGTATTGTCGACGAAGACAAGCACTACAATATTCTCGGGTTCGACCCTCGTGGTGTTGGTTTGAGCACACCATCGGCTGATTGCTACAGAAATGACTTTGCCAGGGCTTCTGATGCAATCCAGCAGGGTGGGCTGTCGCCAGCAGATCCCGACACTTTCGGCCTCAAAATGTACTATGAAACCGCAAAGGGGGTTTCAGACCTATGTGCTGAGCTTGGACCTGAGAGTATATTCCCTTACATGGCTACGGCTTCCGTTGCCCGGGACATGCTGGAGATTGTCAACCGCGTGGACGAACTTGAGAAGAAAACTTTCAAGTGTCGTCGATCGGAGAACACAGACGAACTTCCAAAGCTTCAATACCTTGGGTTTTCGTATGGTTCATTCCTAGGAAATTCCTTCGCGTCCATGTTCCCAGGGCGAGTTGGTCGTATGGTCATTGATGGTATTGTCGATGCCGATGATTATATCCAGAAAGTAAGAATCCCCAGTCCTTGAACGGCTACAGATTTCTAACCTGCATATTGTAGAATATGGGACAAGCCCTTCTGGATGCCGAGAAGGTCCTCGACACCTTTTACGAGACTTGCTATGACGCCGGATCTAGCTGTCTCCTTAGGGAGGACACAGACAAGAGTGCACAGGATATCCGAAACAAGGTAGACCTGCTGTTGAAAAGCCTCGATGATGACCCCGTTTCGATCGTGTATCAGGGCCGCGTTCGACACATCACGTCTCATACCGTCCGCGACGTGCTTCGGCAGATGTTGTACAGCCCCATCGTGATGTACGAACCTGCGTCTCAACTTCTAACGTTGGCTCTGACGGGCAACTTCACGAGTTTCATGCAAACCCCGACCTCCTTGGCCAATTCCATCGAGCCCGCCGAGATGTGTGTTAACCCTGGCGCGAGCTACCCACCATCCGACCTCGCTCTCAACAACGAAGCCGGCTATGGTATTTTCTGCAGCGACGGCTACATCGACCCGGAATTGCGCAACGCCACCTGGGCGAACAATGTTGCAAAGGCAATCGTCGACCACTCCCCTACGCTCGCTGAATCCTGGACTCGCGTAATCCTGGCCTGCTCCGGGTGGAAATACGACGCCAAGTACGCCTTCAGGGGCCCGTTCGGTGCACCCGGGCCAGACAAGACCGGGAAGAACAAAGACACGCCATCCGCGCCTCTCCTGATCCTCTCTAACAGATGGGATCATGCGACTCCATTGTCCAGCGCATACCTCACTTCTCAGCAGCATGGTGACTCGGCCGTGATTGTTCAGGAGGCGTCCGGCCACTGTGCGCTCCTTGTATCAAAGAGCAAGTGCGTAAAGGATCATGTCAGCACCTATTTTGCAACTGGAGTCGTCCCTGCGAACAATACCGTGTGTGAGGCGGACTGCAAGCCTGCTATTCCATTCAAGGAGTGCCCGGGGTTTGAAAGTTCATAGATCCTTACGTAATGTGAGCGTGGTAGCTGGTTTGGAAGCGGCTTGGAAGATGATATAGCCGAGACCTGAATTCTTTTCTTTTGTTTGGTATAAGCTGCTTCTAGCAAGTCAAACTATGGGCTACGTACCCGTTGTATTTAGCCACAGCATGAGAAGGTGATTCTCAAGTAGTGCCCTATTATTATATTTTATTCACTCAAGAAATATCTCAACGGCCCGTCGGCGGGTAAATTGGGTAAATGTTTATCTTGCTGAGTATGCTAGTCTTCGTAGAATAAAACGCCAGCGTGAGCCTGGTCTCGAGAATCTCAGTTTACTCCATCAATATCAACCGTTCGGAATTTCTAGCCATGATCATCTCTCAGCTCATCTGTCTCCTGGGCTTTGTGATACGCTTGTCCAATGCGGCTAATGCCACATTCACAAATCCCATTCTGCCAGGATTCAACCCCGACCCAAGTTGTATATTCGTCAAAGAATGGGACAATACCTTCTTTTGCACAACCTCTTCGTTTTTGACATTCCCAAGCATCCCTCTTTATGCTAGCAAGGACTTGGTCCACTGGAAGCACGCGAGTTATGCCATCAGTCGCGGCGACCAGCTACCTGAGTTATACCGAAACAGTGAATTGCAAACCGAAGGAACTTGGGCATCAACCCTTCGATACCGCGATGGCAAATTCTACCTAATTACTAGCTACGTGTCTTGGCACGATGGATGGGGACCCATCATTCTTCTTTTAACTACAACTGATCCCTACGATGACGCGTCTTGGAGTGGACCGATTCGATTCGAGAACCCGGAAAAGGAAATTGATCCGGATCTTTTCTGGGATGATGATGGGCAAGTCTACATGAGCGTCGCCAGAGGCATATTCATTCATCGAGTGGACATCTCCACTGGCAAAATTTTGGAGACATTCACAGTATGGAACGGCACTGGCGACCGAAACCCCGAGGGGCCGCATATATACAACAAAGATGGGTATTACTATCTCAGCATCGGTGAGGGTGGCACAGAAACAAACCACTCAGCTGTGATATCTCGGTCAACCACTATCTCTGGGCCCTATGAGGGGTATGAAAGCAACCCTGTACTCACTGCCAAAAATACGGACGCTTTCTTTCAGACTGTGGGACATACAGATTATTTCCAGGATGCCACGGGAAATTGGTGGTGCGTGGCGCTGGCCACCCGTTCTGGCCCGGCCTGGGAGATATATCCTATGGGCAGGGAGACTGTTCTGTCGCCAATGACGTGGGATGAGGGTGGATGGCCGATCATCGATCCAATTCAAGGAACAATGAGCGGACCCCTTCCACCTGCGAACACAGATCTTCCTGGCGACGGCTTCTGGGCTCATGGAGGGGACGAAGAAGATTTCCGGCCTGGGACACAAATTCCAAGGCAGTTTCTCTTTTGGCGACCACCCAAAGAAAGCCTTTTCAAAGTATCTCCGGCCGGTCACCCCAACTCACTGCAGGTGTTGCCATCAAGAGCGAATCTTACTGCAGATTCTCAATTTGAACCACTTGAAGATGGGATGGGATTTATATCTCGGAAACAGTCGAGCTCGGTCTTTCAATTTACGGTCGATCTCGAATTCGACCCCAAGGATGCTGATGAGGAGGCAGGAGCTACAGTTTTTCTAACTCAGTACCAGCATATCGACGTCACCGTTGTTAATACTCGTTCTTGCTCTACTGGAGAATTGGAGCAAAAGTTCAGGTTCAGGCCAGAGGCTCTGGGTAAACCGGGAGTTAAAGTCCCGGCCGCAAGAACAATTACCGTCCCGCAAGCTTGGGCTGGAAAACGCATGAGATTTACGATTACGCTGGACGAGAGTCAGACATACCATTTTACCGTGGCTCCGGCTGATAAACCCGATGAGGAACTTTGGATGGGCTCGGCTAGTACGGATATTGTGTCGGGCGGATCAGGCCCTTTTCACGGTGAGTTTCATTTCCACGAATCGAACGTGACGCCGAGCATGACTTACGCCTGAATTAAGGTACACTTCTTGGCGTTTTTGCCACGAGTAACGGCGGCACCGGCAAAACTGCAGCCTACTTTAGTCGTTGGAGGTACCATCCACTGAAGCAGGAGGTGGAATCTGGGGTATTTCTGCCGATCAAGGAATAAGTAATTTAGATGATTACCAATGCACAGATAGGCAATGGAATTTGAATAGCACAGTTGAAGTTCAATTTTCTCAGCGGTATTTGATGGCCCCGTTCAACGTCTATTTCGCTCTATCCGACGATCCGAACCGCTACCTCGTTCTGTCCTTTGAAGTCGCAAGCATTCTGAGAAATAGGAAAAAGGAAACATGGTTTTGTAGGTTAGTGTGATGGCCAGCCATAATGCACACCTCATTCTTCAACATATTAGTTCGAAGACCAGCTCCTCTCCATGCAAAACAACCAATGTTCCTAACAAGAGACCCCGGAGGGCAGACCAGTGCACTTGGAAGACGTTTCACCTCCAGTAACACCGTTATTGGTCCATGTCCAGTCTGAGCAAGCGGCACACAGAATGTAGATGTTCGTGGCATCTGAATCGACGGAGCCAGTGACCTTGTTGACTGTCAAGTCAGTAATCGGCACACCATCAGTGGGCGTACCGGTGGGTGAACCATTCTCGTAATCCTGTTCAATAACAATACCATACTTTGCGATATTGGATAGAGTGATACCATCGTATTGGACATCAGAAACCGAGCCTGTGGCCCCATAAACCGTCTTGATCCTGATACCGTTATCAGAATCGGTAACCTGAGAGTTCAACATACGAACAGTCTTGACGGTGTTATCGCTGCGACCCCCAACGGAACCAATAGACAGCCCATGGCCACCACTGCAAGTGCCCCCTGTGAATGTAATATTCGTGCCCGAGTTGATGGCGAGGCAATCATCTTGATTCTTGACATTTGCCCCCGAGATGTAAACACCATCCGAGGAACCAACATCAAAGGCATCGGTGTTATGTCCACCCTCAGAATCACCTAGCGAGTTGTCCAGGGTGACGTCGTAGATAGCTAGGTCGGTAGCCTTGTTAATACTGAATGCCTGCACCGGGGTATTCAGAACATTAAGACTTTTGATCTGAGAGTTCTTCAGCGAGTGTGCATAGAAGAACTTTGGTTTTGTTTTCCCTCCATTGCTTCCCTCGCTGTCCCACCAGCGGTTGCCTTCACACTCAATGGAATGTCCAGAAGCACCCTCAATCACTATGTTGTTACCAGAGAAGGAGATCAGAGGGCCTTCCCACTCTTTATATCCAAAGGTTGTTGTTCCCTCGAAGGTCACCTGCACACGAGAAATCGTATTAGAAACTTAGTCTGCGCATACAATAGAAAGAGGAATGAGGTTCATCTACCTGAGTACCGTCCTGAAGGTCGGTCATATCCAGGGTTGTTCCGGCAGGCACTTCGATGTCCTTCAGGACGATTTCGGTACAGCCACCCTTTCCGCTAATCGCTGAATCGGCATCGGTGAAGGTACAGCTTGAACTACTGCGTTCAATCACCATCCCATTTCCGAAAGAGAGCGAGGCAAAGGCCCCAATGATCAGAGAATTCCGCATTGTTACTGTTATCCGCTTAAAAGTCGAAGGCAATTGATAAAACAGCAAAAGATATGACAAATAGAAGACCAAAGTGCGCAAACAAGACCAGATTATTGATGCTTTGAAAGATCGAAATCAAGCGATGTGCTCAGCTATTTAAGCATTCATCGCCTTCATGATTGTTATGCATTTGCGTTGCCCCTTCTCTCCGCTTTTATCAACACCAGGCCACGGCATACGGCACTCGACTTGACAAAGAAATTCCCTCAAAAGGCATTCCCTCCGCGTATGATTTAATTAGATTTCGTGCCGGGCAATGTTGATCGTAAGGATTTGATTATTTCCAGAGCGTCACCAATGTCTGAGGATATGCCGTTCGGTTGGGTCGGCAGACATGCATCGGTTCGATCGGCAGAAACAGCCCGTTCTAGTTTCATCATGCCGAATTGGAAACGGATGACGGATGGCTTGTACCTCCGTTTCCTTTCTTTGGAGGCTTGCGAATGCTGTGGGCCACTAGCCAGGCTTTTTCAAATATGAAACAATCCACGAAAGATTGCGACGCGTAATCAATGTTGGGGCAAGGTCTAGAGACACAGATAGCCAAGGCTTCATCAACGGGAAAGGTGTTAACTATTCAAGGTTGGTTCAGAGTGTTTTAGGGTTCCTCTCAATTTCAATGATTCCTCTTTTGTATTGAGAACTCTGACGTGATGCCTTTGCCGAAATTCAATATGGATAATTCTCGTTTTGAAGAAAGACAGCGGAAACTCATCGATGGGCAAATAGAAATACGCATATTTAGAGGCTCCTCCTCGGTAACGGACAGCTGTGAACGATTATTAGTTTCGCACAACACTCGATGAGACCACTACACCTGGTTAGATGGGCTTCTACCCTCAAAACCTATGTCAGGGCACGACCTGGTATAGTCTATTCTATAAACTTTTAGAACATATATAAGGTAATATGTACAGTGCTCCTAGCAAATTCTCTCGGTTGGATTCAAATACGAGGGTTGAGTCAAGATTCAGCCAAAACCCTGCCTTGGATGGCGATGGGAGGAACCTAGCAAATACCATTCGTGTGATATACTTGACATCAATAGTTTTGGAAGATTGAACTTCGACCCTCTCTCATTATACGTAAGAGAAAGAGAATAAAGTTCAACAGCAATGGAAGCCGCCAGAGCCCGACAACTCAACACAATGAATAGGCCCTCTCTCATTATATCTTCTCCTCCGGTGTCGCGAGAATTTCCATTCTTGACGTAATACCTCGAAGCACTTCTTCTGCCATTTCGCGCGGTACAATACCATCCTCAAAGGACACGTTAACAATGATATCGCCGCCTTTGATGCCAGCGACACTGAACTTCAACCCTTTTTGGCCAATGGTCCCGTTTGTACAGCACGCTGAGAACTGCATATCCACGATCGACCACTTTGGTGTCTTCTCTGAAGAAAAGCCGTTATGATCTCCCATAGGTACAGTTGTATATGCGCCCATGTTTGAAATGCTGAACGTGTTTACTAAGGCAACTGCTACTCCGGGAAAGGCAAATTTCACAATGTACTCCAGGTCAGGTCCAAGTGATGAGGTGTATTTCCATAGCCTCACCATAAACCCCCCTCCCCCTTGCAGAGACTGGTTCATGGTGGCTTTGTATGCCCTCACGAGATCCCACGCAGCCTTTTTGGTCTGCACGGAGGAGCCAGCCCTGACTGCGGCCCGTCGATATGGTGCAAGCCAATGCTGGAACTGGACACCGCCCGTCGCGTTGATGACCGTGCCGGCTTTGGTACCGCCTCCGATTTTTGACATGGGCAGAAACTGACGGATATCGCACACGAACTGTGAGCAGCCCATTATTGCTCTCGGGTAAAAGTCATTGGTAAGCGTATCAAGCACCATAGACGAAAGAAGGGCCGTAAAAGTCGTCTGATTATCACGGCACGCGCTGAGGATTCTCGACATTCGAGATGCTTCAATGCGGTACGAGGCGACTCGGGTCACCGTACGCTGGGCGGGTTCTGCAATCGTCGTGGCGGATCTAATCCAGGGCTTTGCACGAGGCAGTGTACTGAATAGTATTCGACCGCCGAGGAATAAGGCCATTAGGAGGAATCTGATTTGTATCCATACAGCTTCAACCATGGAGGTTTTGGCATCTGAGGTGCTCGTCGGCTCAAGCGGGAACACGAGCGTGGATGGGTCGCCATGGATCAATTTGTCGTCCTCGGTTACTTCTCCGACAGGCTCTTTTATAGAGTTAAGGGCGTTCATGAAGTCACTGTGGATTGTTTCCCCGGATTTACCATCTCCCACAGCATGGTGCATGATGAGCACCACTTGATTTCCCTTCACGATGATCTTCCACCAAGGACGCGTTGGCTCCTCGTCTGTCCACAACCACTGGTTATGAATCTTCTCGAGCAGCTCGGAGTTTACCCCTAGTCCATCGTCTGGGATAAACTCAACACATTGGTCGAGATTGAAGGTGTTGATCATGGCTTCGTGCATGCGGTGGTTTCCCACCCTTGGTGACGGGCGGAGAACACACACGACACGGAGCCGTGCGTGTGCCTCTACCACCTTCCGCAGTGCAGCGAGGACAACCGGTCTCGAGAGGCTGCGACTAGAACCATCTATGTGTGCATACTTGGCTGCAATGACAAAATTCGATTGGATGCCGAGGCGGTGAAACAGATGATACATGCTATCGTAGTAGCCTAGCAGGGCCGTCAGTCCTGTTCGATTTGACCCCTATACAACTATAACATACATGCTTCACGTAGCAACGTGTACTTGAGTGGTGGTGCTGCCATTTCAACCGCGGTTGTTAGAAGCTATGACGCTTCGATCAGATTCAATTGTGTTTGGTTTAAAATGGAAAAGGTGTCTCGGTTGGCTGTCTAACCCTAGGTATTTTATTATTGACAAGGTAGGTCAACGGGCTAGTTGAATAGAAATAGCACGTGACTACCCATTGTGTCAATTATTGAATATAAATAGGGGGGGACTAGCCCTTCCCTAGCTAAACGAAATAATGTTTAATGAGTTCGCTTCAATAGGAGATTTCAAGGTGTGGCGATAATCCAGTTGCGGGGCCTACAGCATAGAAACGGTAGAATATAACCTCATTTTGACAAAATATAAGCGCTAAAATTGGCACATCAGGCCTATCGGTGAAAGTGACAAGGGTGAATAACTGATGCCTCGGTTTGTTCGGATCTGGAAACTCTTTTGCGATCCGCGATCTAAGCCCTACCGCCATTGACAGCAACTGCAGAGCCATTAATAAGCGGCCTGTTGGAAGGCTTAGATTGTCAGCCAACAGGACCAGCTCGGGTTGAACCAGTCAAACTGGGCATATTAAAAGGAGTACGTAAGTTTTTGTTTTGAGGCCAAAAAGGGGGCAGGCAGTGGTCTAGATGATATCAGTCTATTGAGTCTCATCTATAACGTATCGAAAGTACCTTATGCATATGTAGCTTTGACGGCCACATGTCATAAAACCTGCAGCTTGCCCTTTCAGGCTCGTTAATGTGAAGTGTACGGCGTCAATCGGGTAGTCGAATCAAGTCATGAGCAATGTCTCAGACATTGATGCCCTCTTCTCGCAAATGCATTCGTAAAGTACAAGTACAAAAAAGAAATACATCAGGGGATTATGGTGTCGTGTGAACATTAACCCGAAGTGCGTGATCCCACGGCGGGATGATCAACGCCCGAACATCTCGAGCACGTACCCACTATCACACATCAATGGAGTGAGGCACGCGTAAAGCAATCAGCCGCAGAACCTAGCCTGTCATCAGGATTCGGACAATAGGCCAGAAGTTCGGGGGTTCGGCCGAAATTGAACGGATGTCAATCTACCGCAAAAATCTCAATGTTACATGTTCCCCATGGGGACCCCGCAAGCCGGCACCCTAGATGTAGCTTTCGGATGAATGACGTGGAGAGACAGGGCAAGTTTCCCAGAAATGGGATTTATACCATTACGGAGTAGTATCTCGATGCTTGGTCCGCTTAGGGCTGGCCTAGGACATAATTTCGATTCAAGCATGTCTCTGTTTGCATTGTTCACGAGAAGTCTGCATTTACTTGATAGCTCTTGACGATGTAAAAAAGGTTGGTCATATCATTCTCGATAACTAACGTAGCGCCAACCCAACGTCGTCCCTCCATCGTCTGACCAACATTCTGTAGCCCAGCTTGATCCCCTCCATTTCTTAGACGCCCACATACGTAATATCAGGTGTTGGTGGCGTTTTCATCTCGTGCCCGATAAAGTAATCCACATGATGGGACTGAACATATCCTTTCAAAGTCATAGAGTTGCGATAGGCTGGATTGTGCGGCAGCGTGTAGAGACGAATGTCGGTCTCAATATTCGTCGTGAAGATTAACAGCTCAGTGTAATTTTCATTCACAACAATCGCTTCTTCGCGCCAGTCGCCCAAAATATCGCCATGGAAAGCGGGATTGACTCCATTGGCTGGCTTGCCTCCATAGTGGCCTACTGTGACAAGCCGGTTAACAACTTGAGTTGATGGGTTCCATTTCTCAATCTTTCCATTGTTGAAAAGCTCCATTAAGTTATCGCCATCCCAGAAGAGACCAAGGTGCGGCCATGGACCGGCTCCTTCATCAGATGTGAGCTTATTCTCTGCAGCGTTGTAGACACCCTCGAACGACCAGACTTCCATGCCGGGATAATTTGGGTCGATGTCGCCGGCCATTCCACGGCCTACATCTCCAACTTCATCCCCATAGTGTTCCCAAATTAGAGAGCCTTTGTCAGCGTCGTAGTAGTATTCCATCAAGAGACTAGGATTGTCTTGTTGAATTCCGTAGCCCTGCAGGCCGTCACGCTCAGGGTCCATCTTGGCAATATGAAAGCGGTCGCCATGAACAATTCCGAGAGCTGAAAGATTATATCTGAGTGATCCATCCCCGTTAAGAGAGAAACCAATCTCGTGGATTTCATCCTTGCCATCTCCATCAACGTCAATGATGCGAGTATTATGGCCATCGCTGAGGGTACCGATTTTGGGACGCAGATACTTCCAAGCGAGTTTAATCTTTTCGCCATCAAATGTCCAGGCAGTATACATGAGGTTAAACCCTTTATCTTCCCTTCGGTTCTTCATATAGGCGACCAAGTGAGGTGTTTGCCCATCGAGGTACCCAACACCAAGACGGGCGCCCATGGGACCATCAGCGATGAAGTCATCGGGGATACGTTCCTTGGAACGTAATGCCCCTGTTTCTCCGTCCAGGATAGCCATGAATTGTTCATTGTCGTCAGCGTTCTCAAAAGTCTCGCCATTTCCAAAGGTGACGCCGTTTGCGATGCGAAGTGCGACCTCGGCCTTTCCATCTTGATCAAAGTCGTAGACAGTGACGCCATCCCAGTGCCCAACACTGATTGCAGTCGATCCAGGGCTTATATTGTTCTGATTTTCGCTGTTGGGCCCCAGGGCCACACTCCAAAGAAGTGTCCCATTCCTATGGTAGGCCTCAATAGATTGCGTGTCGCTGGTTCGATCGAGCACATAATCATATTCGCCATCTCCATCCAAGTCTCCAACCCAGAGGTAGCGGATAGGGCCAGTGTCTTGGACTGGAAATCGCACGAGTGGTTCAGCTGCTGTATCGCCACTAAGAGTAAAAGGGTGGCTTTCGTCGGTTTCTTTGCCGTCAACCACAGATCGAATGCGATAGATATTTGATACTCCAAGATCGGCAGTACCATCAACAAAATTAGTACCTCCAGTCAGAACATCTGTATTGATCTTCTCGGAGTTACCGCCGTCACTAGCACGGTAGACGTTGAAGCCGATATCCGCGTCGTCAAGGGCAAGCAGTCTCCATGAGATAAAGACCTCCTGTTCAGATGAACGGACCGCTACCACTCCTCTTCCTAGGTTTTCCAACGCTCTTTTGGCACCAGCAATAGGGAGGAGAGACATGAACGCGAATGCCACAATGGCTGGAAGGGTTCTAGACCAAGTCGGCATCATGATGTTGTACCTTTCGTCTCAAGTTTTCAAAAAAAGCGAGAGTTTTCTTTTCAGTCATCAACACTTCCTCAGAGTAAGGAATGTCGGTTGGGTCTTTATATAATTGAACGTAGAAACTCGAAGTGCATCTTGCAAAGAAACACGGTTGAAACCAGACACGGCAGAAATGAGGCGAGGGTCATCGATCTGTCCTCGGACCAACCTCAATTGTAGGGCGTCCAGGATGCTAGTGTTGCCTCCGGGTCTTCGGACGAATTCAAAAACGAAAATCCTGAGAAAAGTAAATAAGTGCCCATTAATTACATCATGGAGATGTTTTCACACAGTATTTTCACTTCATCCGACTCCCCGCTTCAGTTCAACCGAGCTGGTAATATCTTACCATATTGCCCTCTAGGGAATGGCCCTCTCCTTCCGAAGTGGCGTCACCCCGTTTTAGGTGAGATTGTGTACCCTGTCCAAACATGTTACGATCAACAACTGATCCACATAAGACCCTAAGTTATATTACAACCATGGTTTCAGGCCTCCTATGATCTTATGACGCCTACTTGGACGCCCTTCCCCGCCCCAATTTACATTCATCGTAGAGGTCGGGTCGTCTGCTAGCCACTTGATAAAGATAGTATCCCTTCAGGCTTTGCTGATTACAGCATGTGCAAATGCCCCAGCCTAACCAAGTAAAAGGAGTAAGGCCCTCGTGAAAAGCACAGTAACGAGAAGTATACTTTGTCCTTTTTCAAACCTTTTAAACTTGAAACGGGGAGAAAGTAGATTAGAAAATTAAGGAATGATTCCTCTCAGCATCAAACACTTAGGTGGGACGAGAACGTATGAATAAGTTTTTGAATTTTTTTAGATCGACCATAGATTAACTTCTCTATCCGCCACCCTCCAATGATCCTTTTTTATCTTAGTTATTGCTCGTCACAAGGGATGTGACATTTAGTACAGGCCAACCACAACATCACCCTTGACACGAGCGGTCAGGTGCACCTCGGCCTCGAGGTCGAGCTTGATACCCAGAAGAAGGGCGGCATCGCGGAGCTTGCCATCATCGTGGGCAGCACCCTTGATGAGTTGACCTAGAATCATGTTACTGGGCGGTTCAATGCGGAAGGATAACTCGGACATAACGTACCAGCAGGCTGAGAGAGGCCGGTGGCGGTGGGGAGAGGGACAGTGAACTGCTCGCTATGAAGAACTGTGAGAATGCACTCCTATGATAAGTTGATGAATGAATCCTTACGTAGACATTTTGTCGGTTGGTTGAAAGGTTGTGGGGTGGAAGGGAGAAGGTGGTCTTGAAGGTGGTGATGAATTGATTGATGAGAGGAGATATTTGGATTTCGCTGGATCGTGAGCAGCTTTTATAGATAAATTATGCCCTTGGAACTTTTTTGCTGTGTTTTCTTTTCGAGCTCTACAAGCTGGTCTTTCAGGTCAACATGCATGACGAGCCGTAAAGCTGTAAGGACAACGCACTCCATTCTATGCGAATTCGCTTCGCATTGATTTCTCCCCCTACAGCAATCTCTTCGCTGCAGCCAGGATTCCAAATTTTCTACTCACAGCGAATCAATTCTCCCCACAAGTCACTACGCATTTATCATCAGGTACTCTAGTGAAATTAAAAGGCTTCATGGTGGCAAAACATGCCGGCGAGACCCAAGTCTGCCAACACATCAACCTGAGAACAGACACTCACTACAATCTCAATTAATCATCCTCGTCCAGATAGCCGAGGATGCTGAAGGAACATGCCGAAGACTGCATCCTTAGGTAACCTACCATATCATACATGGGCTTTGAAGAGTGAGTACTTGAGCATATAACCTGCCACGAATTCAGTACAATAGGTAAAGATTGCATATTTTTTAAACCTAGTTCAATCGATTTTACTTTTTTGAAAGCTTGAGTAATTTGATGGTTTGTTGAGGGATAAAATGGGAGAAACTTTCTCGCATGAAGGTAGGGCCTGTCAAAGTGTGGATAATCGAACCCTTTATCATGTAGCGTAATAACCCATGGATAGAATATTCCATGATCTAGCTATCATCTGCCATTCGTAGATTTCGATACCACGGAGCCGAACAATCTGTGGAGAAAGCGTTGATCATTCGCGTTATGGCAACTCACGCACCCCAAAATCGCGAGATGCACCTCTTGCGAGTCCAACATCGTGGTGTTTGTTCGGGGTCAACAGTTTCAGCCAGAGCCGTTGGTGTCTTTGTCACCGCCATGGCGAATTCATATTGTTTGTACACGCGGCCGAGTGGAAAATTGGAAAAGGAGTGACTACAGATAAGATGCGCCATAGCTGCTTCACCGTCGCCGATTTCACGATCAATTCACAGCAATGAGCACCTATAAATTCAGCCAAGTCCTGTGCTTTGTCACTAAATATGTTGCAAGATGGCGTCGATGCCCATATAGACGAAAATGCGGTTATATGTATCTAGGGGCCTGGCCTCCTTCGAAGAAATTCTTTTAAGAGCACATACAGTCTAATATTAAATTATTGAATCATAACAGGAAAATTGGCCGTCCGTGGCTCAGGTCTCTCTAAGTCCGATAGCTTTATTCCACGAAGTTGAAATGGCGTTCCAATATTGATCTGGGAATTGCCGCATGTGCATAACATGCGGGCTCCCGTTGAACATCTCCGTCTCTGCCTGCCACCCTCGCCGCCGCGCTTCAGCAGCATGCTTCTCGACATCTTTATAGCCGACCAGATCATCCTCCTTGCTGTACAGGTACAGGTACCGATTGTCCATTCGCACATGCTTTTCACTCTGTCCGATTTTCAGGCCCCATGTTGCTGAGCTCTCCCGCAGCAGAATTCTCTGTACGCATCCATTCAAGACCAGCAACATACACATCAAGAACTGTGTCGCAACAAAGGGCAAGGGGAAGAATTTAGCCGTCCGCAATGTCATTGCTCTCGACCATCTTTCTAAATTGCCGAACGTCAGATCGGAGCTTCCAGGGGCCGAGTCCAAGCACACAAGTCGATTGGGCATGGCCTCGCCGTACCGTCGGGTATAGGCATCGAGAGTAGCAGTATAGTTGATCGCTCCCGTGTTCGACATAACGTGCAAGAGGACCTTGAAGTCGGGGCTTGGTTTCTCGGGGAATACGGCGTCGATTACGGGCATCATCCCATCCCCACGTCGCTCGTTCTTGGTGAGCAATGCTTTGCTGATCGGCGACAGCACGAGAACTTGTTTTGCATGCGGAAAAAGCGCTCGGAAGCCCTCCGAATATTTCACCAGATGTTTTGGCAATCCATCACCCCAGCCATATATCACGACAGCGTTCGGGTGGTCGGCTGATGCTGTCGTTCCCTCGGTTGTTGGTTCGGGCTCTCGTACATAGATCTGGTCTGAAACGGGGACGAAGCCCTCAATTGGATGCGCTCGCTTCGGGTCGGTCGTCAATACGGTGGCTTTAAACTTGATCAATCGCTGCCGTGCTTGAAGGGCGAACAGGATGACGAGGAGCACCGATGCGCGTTGTTTCGTAGACGAGCTTCGGAGGATCGCGATGTAGTGCCTGAGAGGCGGCGGTTTCCACAACATCTCGAGACGTATCCGACTATCCTCGACGGAAGAATATAAAGATACAGATGCGACTTGATACGTCCTCACTATTCTGATACGATGAGAGCAAGTGTTGAACAAGCCTCGGCCTATACTATATGTGATCGGCTTGTATGTGGACCTTTGCCGTGTAGCAATTAGTCACCCTGTCGGTTTTCTAGTTCTGGTGACATCGCAGTGCTAGCTTTCTCTGGGGCTTTCGGCTTTTCCTCAATCGGAATCGCCTTGGACGATATGGGAAAGCTGAGCGAGGGCGTGATCAGGGGCAGGGGGTCACGTAAGGCGGGAAACTATGGACTCCCCGGCCACGTGTACGGATACAGCCTGTGCTGTTTTTAAATTCATATTATACAGCATCATCATAAGATTCATCCCCCCATGATATAAATGCAATTTTAACAGTCAAATTGAGCAAGTGAGCACGTAAATTCAAGGGAATAAGCATGATCCCATGTCTACCAAAACAAACCCCCTATAATCCCCCAACGCAAGTTCGTTTCTACACCAATGACATTTGAAAGCACTTCGTCAAAGAATTGACTCAAAACATTGAATAAAAACCATAGAAATCACAATTGGGTGGAGAGTAGACCAGCTGAGATGCGTCTTAGCTATTAGGGGCTTAACCTTCCTTTCAAAAAGATAAGCCATCGTGACGAACCGCAGCACGAGTAATTACAAGATGGCCCCCGCGCTCAAGCAGTGCTTTCCCAATCTAGTATCCAGTGCAGGCGAATAATAAGTTCAGAGTAGTGATCATAGCGCCTCGCCGGTGGGATTTAGTTCATCTTGTCTCAGGCGAGACCAGCCCGCATTGGGCGAGGGTTGTTCGTTTACCCACCAACCCAAGCTGTAGAAACCCTGTAATTACTAGCTACAGTTGTCGTCCCCTCCGGCGGGACCGATCCTGTCAGTAAGATAAGTCCCAGATCATGATGATTATTGAGAGGAGCTGCGCGTTTCATCTGAGTCTCACACACAGACTGCACGTTCTGGTAGCCAGCTGTGAAGGTACCCAAAAGGCGATGCCTCTTAAGGTGAACATGGACAGCAATATGCGCTAAATGTTAGGTAATTTAAAGATAGAAAAGCAATGAAAGAAATCGGGTGTATATTTATTGAACCTTAAGGTAGTATCCGACTACCTTATTTTACTATTTAGCCACCTAAATATAGCATGCTAGCTAATGTTATAGATTGTATTCTTATTATATAAATCCCTCTCTTTAAAGGAGTTAGTTCCTTTAAGAATATAATTATTAAAGTTAAATAAACTAATTAGCTACTTTAGGTTAAGTTCTAGAGGCTCTTAAGTGTTTAATAACCTTACTACTTTAGTAATATTTATAAGCTTAGAATTACTTATTTCTATCTTAAAAAGCCTTAAGATTAATAAGTTATATAACTATTTATCCTTAATAATAAGTTTCATAGCTTATACTTTAATATCTTAATATATTCTTTAAGATATTCATACATATAAGTAACTATTACCTTTGAGTGTGACTGCTCCAAAACAGAACTACTCAATTTGTTGCGATCCTCCACGCCGAGGCCTTTGACGGAGATTTCTGCGGTCTCCCACCCACCCATCCATCATATCATCGTTTGGCCTATCGCACCAACTTACATTCACAGCTCTTTGAACCGCTCTTCTTTCCATCTATCGACAGAAAGATCTCTTGTCAACAAGATGTCTCTGGTCCAGAAGCTCCTCGATCCGTGTACGGACCTGTGGGAAAGCGCAGTCCCTCCCCATCTCTTTAACCATGGCTCGTCTCGACGCTTCGAGGAAGCGCGCAACGAGTGGAAGCTGAATTCGACTCAAGGTGAGGACTATAATCCCGACTTGTTATGCGTATTGTCGGCAAGACTGACTCGGCGCCTATCGCTTGAATATAAATAGATTCTGTACTCGCCGACTTCGCCAAGTTTCTCCTCCATGGCAGAGCACAAGTCAGGCCCATCATTGATTCAAAAGAAGCCGAGACTCTCGAGAGAATCTTCACCTCTCATGTAAACTCAAATAACTGTAAGTTTATCGTTATTCCCATGGGAACACGGAATCAAGTTCTGACCAACTGCAACAGGCTGGGATCGGCAGTCTTTGAAATCGTATCTGGCGACAAAAGTCCCTGGAGATGCAAACTTCCAAGACCAACTCAGAAACGCCATTCCTGCTCTCTGGGCTCTCGTGGTCTACTTTTCACAATGGCCATTCAACGCCACTGTCGGCCCGTCAGTGTGCCAGACGACAGCCGACCTGGCGTTCCCGGCATTCGTTCGTGCCACGGCCTTTCTCTGCGGCCGGCATGAGGAAATGTTTGGCAACTGGGCCGACGACGACACCGACTTCAACCGAGGAATCGACCAACCAGTCATCGAGGACATCTTCCGAGCCTTGGCCACCAAGAGACCAGAAGATCAGAGCCCCTTTGCACCGACCAAGATCCCTAGATTACTGCCTCACGACGATGCCCTCGACGTCGTGGGCGCGGTCCACCCGTGGCTGAACGAGTTCTCAAGACCACTCAGCCGTGACGAGCTGACCCCCGTGGCCCGTCGCCTTCGCCCCTCGGCCCCTCCGGAGCTCTCAGATCTGGTCATCCAGGAACCCAGGCAGACGCTCATCCCGCTTCTACAACTATCTGTGTCGGTTGTCGAGCAGGCCCTGACGCTGGATGGGGCAAATGTGACCACCTCACTCCGCGACGACCTGAAGACTGCCCATGCAGAGCTGCAAAAGGCCGAGCGGGTGCCGTTTGGCCTCTTTGCGGACTATCTGGACACAGACCAGTGGGTGGTGAAGCACAACGACGTGTACACCGTCTACAATGCTTCGCGGTGCTCTTCCAGACATTCCTACGTCCGCAGAGCTTGCTAGGTGGGCAAGAGGAAGAGAGCATAACGGCATGAGGTAGACATGGGTTTATTCAGCAGGCGTTTCTTAATACTCAGTCGCAACTTTGTGCTTTGTTCTCATTTCCAGTGACTCCTGTCTACCTTGTCTTTCATCACCGGACACCTACTAGGGACGAGTGGTTCCTGTCCCTGCACGGTTCGGTTGGTAGAGCGAGACAAGGTGCAAGATGAGCAAGATTGACTGTAGTAAGTTGAGTTTGAGCTTTCTCATCTGTGACCTTCTAATTCTCCTCTTTTTCTCTATCGACATCAGAGTCCATCTGTTTCTATAGTGGGAAATACGCAAAGTTCGCACCCTTTTCCCTACTTCAACTTATCGAGAACTTTTCCCTTCGAGCTGTAATGGGGCGGCTGCCAAATTTTCAAACTGTGGCCAGGCACCCTTCCTTCCCCTGACGTCCTCTTTTGGCTTTGTAAATACGTACATTATCGCCCCTTTCCTGGGTGTCGATCTTCTCCACGCCATCGCGAGCTAGAACGACCGCAAATTCGTACCCCATCTGCAGTATTACGACGCGCACTTGACGCAGTATGAAAGGAATGGCTGCCATTGCAACTTATTACGAGAAGAGTAATTCAATCGAATTAACTAGTTTGTTACCTCCCTATAGCAACCTCTAACTATCACAGAGCTCCCAAAAGGATGCTGCGATGGGCTTCGGAAGAAAGAGAGTGCAATCGTGAAATTAGACCCGTAGGATGTGAAGGACTTGTCAGCAAACATAGAAGATGCCTCAAAGGCCAATACGATCAGTTAGCTCTGGCTCTTGATAAATCCTACTTGAGAATAGAAACAGGGTTTCTTACTGATTGCCATATGGCATTCTTATTCTACAGGCAATATGTTTGAAAATCTCACGCTGGGTACAAATGAATATCGAAAGAGGTGAGCTGTCATCCCTGTTCATGAAGGATTGAGACTTCAATGTGAATCAGCTTACGGTGAGAAACAAGCACGACCCACCTCAGTTTAGGCTCTGGCACCTCACAGGCTTGACTGGTCATAAAATGCCTCCATTTATCCCAACATTCATATTCCTTATCCGCTCTGTTGAACCCCAACCTACGCCATGGCTGTTCTGCAAAGTCTGCCCGTCGAGGTCCTGGACCAGGTGATTGGCTATATCCACCCGGAGGTAGATTGGGATCTGGCCCAGAGGACGAAGTCGGATATCCGGTCACTGTCCAGCGCGCGCTTGGTGTGCCGTCAATGGAATTCCCTGGCCACGGCTCATCTATTCCGAACCATCTACCTGGTACACGATGCGGAGGAGCTCTTCCAAACTTGGAATAACATGCTAGACAGCAACTCTGTCAAAAATGCAGCGCGACGCGTAGTTTTCAACAGCGCGCCAGGCGAGGGCTGCGGCGAACAACCGATGAGAGACTGGTGCGAATCCGGCGAACATCCCTCCTTTACCAGGGCCATCTCGCGCCTCAACGAGATCAAAAGTGTCCAATCCGTTGAGCTTCGCTTTTCAGACAAATGTCTGGGCGAAGAAGAAACAGACAGGTTCTGGTTTGAGGATGTCGAGGAGATAGGCAGCAGAAAAAATACGCTCATTGCTGTCTTTGAGGCCATCCGAGAATACAATGCTCAGCGATCTGCGGCGAACAGGATCGCCTCCCTCAAAATCGAGAATCTTCAAAACATCCCCCTTCCTGAATTCACCACGTCTGAACTTTTCAAGACTGTCATCGAGGCTCTCACTACTATCGAGCTGCGAATTGCTGAAGAATATAGGGAGGACGGGCCTGATTATAATGTGTACCTCATCGAGCGACAAACGTTTGAGCCATATCTCCTAGCTCACTGGTTGACTCCGCTTTCCGGCCACCTTACAACCTTAAGTCTCTGTTTCAACGAAGGCTGGGGCGTCTTACCAGGGTATTTCGATGGAAAGGGGCTCCAATTCAAGAATCTCAAGACTTTGAACCTGGGCCACCTTGTCATCGCACACCATGGCCAGTTTGACTGGGTGCTTGCTCAGACAACCCTCGAAACGCTCCGTCTCGACACATGCTATATAGCGACGCATCTCCATTCCTATGACCGCGCCCAATTAAAACAATGGAATGTGAGAAAGCATGATTGGGTTGAGGTCGATTCTACCATTTATGCATGTTACAAAGACTATGATGTGGTGTATACCTTTTCTGGAACGTGGGAAACCGTGTTTGGAAATATACGCAAATCCCTCGTCAAGCTCCGACACTTTGGGTTCTACAGCGGATCCGATCGCAACTACTCTCTGAGTTTTCGGTCCCCAGGAGGCAAAGGGACTCAATTGTCAAATTACCGCTATGTGGCATTCGATCAAGGGATGGCAAGTCCATGGGTTAGGCCTAAAACGAGCGAGGGAAGCATTAACTTTGGATATAATGCATATATTAACCCCGCCAAAGACCATTACGACGGCGATTCACGGGCTTTTGAAGAGCTCCTTTCTGCTGTTCGAACGAGGTAATTAGAGGGCGCATTAGTTCTTGCCTGCTTGTGAATGGGGGCTCTGCACAGAGCTACAGCAACAGGTCATATAAAAGTAGGTACTCTATGGAAATCAGTGATTAAGATCAAGACGAGCATAATCTCCATGAAACTCTATACTTTCTGAATACATATATGATGCTGAGGCCCTCTTCGCCGTCGTCCATTGAAGGTAATGAACGAGTCATATTTTGAAATTACCTACTTGAAAAGCCCGGGTAGACCACACCTCCGCTTGGGCCTGGACTTGAGCCTGGACTTCTAAACCCATAAGGAACAACCTCATCATCTCTTCCAATAAACAATATTGCAAGGCATTTGTGCAGGAACCAACGATGGAAAGGCACGCCACACAGTTAGAGCTCACTCAAGCTGATATATGGTTGTCACTTTATTTTATTTCCCAAAGATCTACCTATAGCAATCCGGCCTGGACCTGGTTGTTCATTATTCAACAGTCAGGATGATCAAGGATCTCAACTACGTTCGCGTCAAAACGCATGTTCCATTTTCTAATCCTTTCCATCACTTTCTCAATCCTGTCCATCTGTTGATCGCGATCGAAAAACGTCTCTACGAAACGAAAGCCGAAATCTTCTCCATGCCAGATCTCTCCCCCCTCAGGCATGGGTAAATTTTGCAGGCAGCTGTCCAACAACCGTTGCAGCATACTATCAATCCTTTCCTTGTTGCCAAGGTATTCATTAACGAGCTCTTTTCTTTGCTTGTTTCTGATTCGGGGGATGATAGCCTCCGCTTTCCTGCTATTCTCAGATAGCCTGATTAGGAGTAGCCAAAGCTCACCGGCCAGTTGTGTGGTTGGATGTTTGCCTGAATATCTGAAAACAGTCCAGTCATAAATATACTTCCCCAGGCTAGAATGATCAAAAACATCGCTGTGAATAGGCAGGCTAGGGCCTTCTACAACTCCATCTGAAACAGTCGGCCTGAGCGATCGCGGAAGCATGCCGATATTTATGGCCAATGTCGATGGCTTGAGTTGACGGGTCGAGCGGATATATTCCGCTGCGTGGCCAAGCCAGGAAATAGTAGATTGTGTTGCAGGGTGTTGTTTCTCCGGGGATGTACTCGTTGTGCGCGCGCGAGGCTGAGGATGCGATCGACGAGAATCTCTCCTTTCGTCCAGAAGAGGGCGTTTGGTTGAGCACATAGGGCACATGATCTCCCATCTATCTGTAACATCATTGAAGGTAGATGATAGAGACCTGAACCGTTCGCCACATCTATAATTTATGCACTCCACACCCCTTGTCCTCGCGGTGATGACTTCAGGGTATCCCTCCAAGGGGTTCGGCCGATCCAACCATATAAACGTTTGCCTTGCAGGATCCACATTCTGTAAGCGCTCGGGGGGCGTCGCTAATCGTCTTTGAGGAGAAGGAGGTGATCTGCTCGCAATACGGGGCATATCGTCATTTTCCGAGCTCCACGTAGCAGAAGGTGCTGGACTTATGCTGGCATCCCTCCATTCGAGGTCGTCCAAACTATTCTCTCCTAGTTAGTCGTCGGATTTTGCATTTAGCTCTCAGGCATGGGAGCTTTGAGCCTCACGTTGTTGAATCTGGCGTTGCAGGCGTAGCCAACCATGCATGCCCAACCGCTACCGAAGCCGTCGGCCTATCATTTGGCGTTGGTGCCAGAAGAGATATGACAAATTGTTGGGCCTTGTCAGATACTTTCTGCAATGTCATTTTCTCAATGGGTAAATTATTTGCTCCTGTGGCGTACATAAAAGTCTCGCCATAGTTGGAGAAAACCATTGAATTTGTGAATAGATAAAAAGTCAGCACTCCCAAGGACCACATGTCCACAGCAAACGAGTAGGAGCCGACCGGCTTTCCCAGGTCCAAGCCTAGCACTTCTGGAGCGGCAAAACCCGGAGTGCCTCGTTGCATGGTGTGCAAGGTTGTGACGCCCAGCTGGCGCCTTTTGCTGATGCCAAAGTCCGTGATCTTGACGAACCAGTTCGGGCCTTTATCGACAACCATGACATTTCTGGGCTTCAAGTCACGATGAATAAAGTCACTGGCGTGCATGAAATCCAGGCCCTCCAGCAACTGACCGACGATTTGCTGAACCTCAGCTTCTGGAAAAGGTCGAGTAAGATAGCTCTGCAAATCACCGAGCTCCATGTACTCCATGACAATAAATATGGAGTCGTTGGACTCGTACCAGCCATCTGAGCGAACAAAACAATGAGAGTACTGCCTCGAATCAGTGATCCGTAAGAACCAACCATGCCGTCATGTTGTGGAGTGCGCGTACTTTATCGTGGGAGAACTTTGCGATAGCCTCGAGCTCTCTGTAATAATCCAGCTGCTCCCCAGCGGCCACATTCGTGCTAATCTCCTTGACCGCGCGGACCTTGTCGCTGCCCTGACGTCGTTCTTGGTAGACCACACCATATGAACCCTTGCCCAGCATCCCCTCACGGTCCCATCGCTCTACTCTTCGCCTATTTCTCTCGTGTAGGGATCGACCCGGCTCGTGGTAGACATGCTCGGTGCAGGTTCCGTTGACGACGGTCTCGATCTTGGAGTCGTGGACGAGGTCGGAGAGCTGGTGGTGGCGGTCATTGCGGATCATGGCGAGCAGTGCCAGACGGAAAACCCAGCAGAGACTCCTGTCGCAGTGCCAATTCCGACAGTCGACGAGTGGGAGGCATCCAACTGACGGCGACGGGATACGGGGGTGTTGACTTTTGAGTTGCGCGAGCTTGGCGAGGTCGTGGGTAGCAAAGAGAAGTTGGCGGTTTCGCGGCGTGGCTCAGCAGATGCGCAGCTGCCCGACATTGAGTAACCGCCCCTTCCTTCCAAAGGTCGGAGCCGAACTCGTCCCGCCAGCGCGCCTCAGAAGCTCTGCCTCACACACCCTATCGACCATATCGATATTGATGCTGTTATTCATTCAAGACGGGATGTTGAAGTGACCACAACATCTACACTAAAGAGGTTTTACTACCTGCCTGGTAGTCAAGAATGCCCTTCACACTACGCGGACACGCGCCATTGTGTCAGCTACCCTATACTCCCTTGGTCCAACCTACATATCACTCTGGTTCTACAGCTACAAGTTATTTACAAAATAGACAGAATGACTTTAAGCTTGCCTTCATAAATTAAATCCATTAATAAAACTTCACGATTCTTCATTGATGTAAAAAAAATTATAAACGATAACCAAAAGAGGTTTTTCCTAATCTTCCCTCACATCGTAAAGAATTCGTTCGCTGGTTTCATCGTCATTGCCGTGTCACGTGAAAGCTTACTAAGGTACTTGAAACTTTTGGGCGAATGGATGAGTAAGCAAAGCCTCGGGCAGGTCACGTGTACACAGCATGGCTTTGTCAGCACTACTGGAATGCGAGATATCTCGTATTCGTTTACCTCGTCGTATTTGCACATTTGAATGGCCGATAAGCTGAATGAAAAAAAGAGTTTCTGAACGTTGTAGATTCAAGGCGAACGGACCTCGTGCTAATAGTATGTTTACATTCAAGGTTTTCACACCGGGCTTATTAGGTGATATCTACTCGAATTGAGTTCAGTGGCGTAGGTAACGATAACAACAACAACAAAAACAACAATAAACAAATTAGAAAGCAATCGTAAGTGCTAAGTATTCAGCAATAGAAAGGCTGATGTTTGAAGGCCAGATAACTTGTCGAAGCCGTTAATTTGGTTGAGCACCTGTTGTTGTTACAACAATGAGAGAACACATGCAGTTATCCTGTAATGAAAACATCAATTATTACTCGCGCAGCAAATCACCAATCATGAGTTCTCTGGGCTGTGATATTGTAGTTACTTATTATCAGTAGGCTATGGACTTCATACTCTTGTTCTCAATTGTCCTCCATATTCTGGAGACTTGCATGCCTGAACCAAAAGCGAATCCCCTCAATGAGGGAACGAGCCCTTTTCTGGGCCAAAATATCCCCTCTCAGGAATGGGCAACCGACCAACATTGGTCCCATCAACGCCCGCCCTGCTAACAGTGTTCCCCCACCAGGAAAATGTGACAGGATTGTACCCAATTGCAAAAAACATCACGAGTGCGCTCACAGCGACGCCAGCCGTCAAAGCCGATGCCAGAACATAGTTGTACTTTTCCCAGAGGGCCATCCTATGCTTTGGGAGCCAATACATGAATATATATCCGAGAATCAGCCCTGGGGTCTTGTACGCCATGTTAGACGGGGCCCAGTGCTGGATACCTTGGATGATCAGGACCGGGTTCAGCCAAAACAGCGATGCAACGGCTGGGAAAAGTGTCCGTTGCAGCATCTCAAACGTTCGCGGTCGAAGACGGCCCCGGAGCCACTCCCGGACGCGAGGGAGATAGATGGGACCGTAACCCTGCCCAACAAGGAAGACGATGGAGATGAGCGTGCCGATGAGGAAACACCATTTGAGGATTGGGTACATCTCGTTGAACATGATATTGGAACCCAATAGACCCCACATGAGCGAACTGCTGTAAAGAGGTGCCCCGTCCATTGCGCAGGTAAACTTGCTTGGCTGGTCGGGTGTGCACAATCCTTTAACATTTTCTAAGATGAAGTTCTGTGTTGCGACGGCTACGAAGCAGGTGATGATGATGGTCCCAATCTGGCTTCGGAAAACTGCGCGAGGCTTGATCAGACAGTAGTGAGCCATCTTCTGGTCCTGAACGTAGTTGTCTCCGTATCCCGCCAGCGCCCACCCGCCGAGCGTTTGGGAGAAGAGGAATGCGTTGGGGTTACCGGGGAGCAGGAACCCCGTGATGACCTGGATGAGCGACCCGAGACCGAGATTTGTGCCGGTCGTGGCGGAGAGGAAGGAGAGCGGCACGGCGAAGACGAGGTTGATAGCGATGACGAGAAAGACCAGCCAGACCGGGGTATCGAGCGGGAATATCTTGAGAAAGATGACAGAGACAACAACAGCGGCAACGAGTATTAGAATAAACCAATAGTCC